GTCCATTTCATATGGCAGTTAGGAAAGGCTGTCCATTCGGTACTGGTCATTTAAGTTGACGTTTTTTTTGGGCAAAACCGAACCCTGAGCTAAGTAGGAGGGAATTTAAAATTTGTTTATTCAATCTGACACATGGGAAACTATAGATATCTTTGAATACTGATCCATTATTTTAGGCAGAATTAGAAATTATTGGCAGGTAATATATATTTGCAAGACTCTTGCCAGGCCCTGATCTGTTGTTTACTTGGCATATATCATATGCGGCACGTGTACCTTTCTTGACATAATTATCGATATATGTTGCTTTATAATTGACTCTATTCATCACATCAACGCTAGATTGATTGCAAAATTGAAGAGATTATATTGGGCTCGGCTTTTCCCGTGAGTTATGCTATCGTGAATAAACCAATAAAAGAGAGAGAGCGCGTATCAACTATATTGAAAATACAATCGCCACGTGATCGCACATACTTAGGCAGAAGCTGGGAAAAATACCTGATCAATCCTAAACCTATTTTACGAATGTCAATTTAGTCCTAAACATTTGTATGAAATTTCAATGTAGCCTTTTCGGTCAATTTTCACCAGGAATCGCTGACATGGCGGTCTAGTTATCACCGGCCATCCTGCGTGGCACACTGCCACGTGAACAGTTTTTAGCGAAAATTGACTGGAAGGATTACATTAGAATTTTGCACAAAGCTTTAAGGGAAAAAGTGTCAGAAAAGTCCTAGACCTACTATATTTGTTCCAATTTAGTCATAAACATTTTAATTGTATCAATTTAATCATAAATCTTTTGACCTAGTGCCAATTCAGTCTTTACAGCTAATTTCGTTGGATATTGCTGACGTGGAACCGCTAGCTCTAACGTTGACAACTTTTAATAATTTTTTATTATTTTGTTTTTTTCTTTCTTTTTATTTTCCTTTCATCTTCCTTTTGCCGGTGACCGACCACCGGCCAAAGGTGATGGCCAGGCAGGTTGGTCTTACTTGGGCGAGGGTCACTGTCGCCTGCCACAAGTGAGGTCCGGCAAGGGTCAGCCTCACACAAGCCAGATCTGACAAGGCGGACCCTTGCTGAGCCTCACCTTCACCCGTGCGACACCTGGCAAGGCTGCCCTCGCCTGGGCAAGGGCCAGCCTCGTTGAGGCTCGCCCTCGCCCAAGCTAGATCTAGCAATGGGAGCCTTGGCCGGGGTAGACTAGCTGGGCCTCGCCTGTGGCGGGCGACAGCGAGTCAGCAACCCTCGTCCAGGCAAGGTCAATCTACTCGGCCATTGCCTATGGCCGGTGGCTGGTCATCGACAAAGAAAGAAGAAAGAAAAAAAAATATTGAAAAAATATCGAAAGATTATTAAAATTTATCCACGTCAGTGCCGACAATGTCACGTAGGCCAGCGGGCGTCCACGTCAGCAATATTCGGCCAAAATTAGCTGGAATGACTAAATTGGCACGAGGCCAAAATGTTTATGACTAAATTGGTACCAATGGAATATGTTTAGAAATGTTTTGACACTTTTCCCAAGTTTTAATACTAAATTGACAAAACTAAAAAATTTGAGATTGAATTGGCATTCAAATAATAAATTTAGGAATAATTAGACAATTCCCCCCCGCAGAATCTGCAAGAGCTTGTCCACCTTTATTTCCCCGTGTTTTACTAACACTTACGTGAACTATTTTTTTATTTTTTGTTGGTTACATATCAGTTTGACCTATCCATTGAACACAGCCTGTCATGTACGTTTCACTTTTTGAACTTAAAAAAATAAGCTTGGCATTGGGAATTATCAAATACATAGCAACCAGTGCACCTACACAAAAGTAATGCAAATTCACGTAAGGATTTTTCCTCGTGGTCTATTTTCTTTTCCTTTTTCCCCCTTCTTAGCCACCGTTTCCTTGAAATAAGCTAAGAAATAATTGAACGAGAATCTCCATCCCCACACCTTGTCTATGCTATTTTATCTACAGATTCAATCAAAAGAAATTATACGTTCCAGATTGGCTAAGTTACGACAGAACAGGAGTCCTCAAACTCCGGGCTGCAAGACAAGGACCAAACCCTAATCTAAAGTTACTACATCGCTTGTTGTCCAGCACTTGACCCCTTGATCCACTTGCTAGCACAACTGAATGACATTCTTCTCCATCTCTTGAACTTTACACTTGATCCCCTGTTTCTTGCAATTGTGTCCTTACTTTAATGACGGGCCTATATACATAATATATGTTCAGTGGGTTGAGTGTCTCATGTCACCATCGCAGTTGAATGCTTGCGGGCTTAAAACAAAGGATCGGCTGGCGGATACTTTATGTACTATTCTCATCTATCTTCATTCGCGTGCGTTCGGTCCATGCAAGAATTTTTTTCAGAGCAGGCGTCGGTCAATGTGTTGAATGTTAAAGAAAGACTAAAGAGGAGTCCAAGATGGCTGATCTATCTATATGAAATTGACCCCTAGAAACCAGTGAACCCTTCCATCCAACCTGCATGATTCAAGACAAAGGAGAGATCGATTTCTGAAGTCGATAATGTACTTTAATTCCAGAAATCAAAAAGTTTACAAGAAGGGTCCTAAGTTGAGGAACTTAAAGAACTTGTGAAGTCCATTTCACATGGCAGTTAGGAAAGGCTGTCCATTCGGTACTGGCCATTTGAGGTGATTTTTTTTTTTTTTGGGAAAAATCAAACCCTAAGCTACTCAAGTAGGAGGGAATTTAAAATTTCTTTATTCAATTTGAAACATGGGAAACTATAGAAGTCTTTAAATAGTGGTCCATTATTTTAGGCAGAATTAGGAATTATCGGCAGGTAAGAGTTATTTCAAAGACTCTCGCAATTTGTGATTTTTTTTTAAAGTTGTTTCCATCATCGAGAAGTTCAAAATAATTAGGGTTAATACCAAGAAAATCCCGAAATTGGTACACGTGTGACAAATTTACCATAAATTAGTTTTTTGACCACAAAAACCTCAAACTTGTACATTTATGTCAAATTTACCCTCCATAAGTTTCTATTGAATTTTACCGTCAAATTACTGAGTTCGATAACATATGACAATTGACGGTTGTCCCATTTTGGGGTTTTACCCTCTGTTTCTCACATGTGTACCCGTTTGTGGTTTTTCGCGGTATCAATTCAATTTAACGGAAACTAACGGAGGGTAAATTTATAACAGGTATATCAATTTGGGATTTTTTATTAAATTTGTCACATGTGTACCGATTTAGGGTATTTTGTGGTCAAAAAAATTAGTTTGGAAATTTAGGGTTTTTAGTGAAATTTACCCAAATAATCAAGCACTTATTCGGAAAAGGAGGATTTGTATCGAAGAAATTTGGGTTGCTGCCAAATTTAATGCACTTTTTAACTTTCTTACCTAACACGGCAAAAAGCAAAATCCGAAGAAAGAAGAGGAAGAACAGTAGTACTTGGTGATTAAATTCAGTTACTGTTTTCTTTACCAAAAGAGCTTCATTGCCTTAAATGACTCAGATACACAATGTTTAATGAGAGAGCCAAGGAACAGTAAGAGATTAAACATCTGCCACAGTCTAATTCAATTTGTTGGTGTTCCAAATGAAGATAGAGAGCACTAGCTGACCCATTTATTTCCCTCTATTCCTTCACTGCTTCCATCTGATCAGATTCATAATTTTCTTTCTAAAGTTGCTGAGTTAAGATCTCATATATGTTAAGCAAGTGACAACTTTGTTTGAGCTGGGAAAAGCTAAAGATGAGAAGGCTCAGGATTTGATCATACAAGACATGACATCTCCTTGCCCATAATAATTTGCAGATCCTGCATTAATATCCTAAGATTTTGGTGTCTCTGCATATACTTCACAAGCTCTCTCTCTCTCTCTCTCTCTCTCTGCCAGTGATCATGTAGTTTCTTAGAGACTACTTTAGAGAGAGACGCTTATGAGAGGATTGAAATGGGTTTTGCTATTGAAAGTATTCATAAGATTTGTCTGTTCTTCGACCGTCCGGGTAAAAACAGCTTACGGGGGACCTAAACAACCACCTTTTGGATTGGATTTTCCTTGTGACGTGTGTATTCAGTACTGATAAATTGGATCATTCCTCCTCGTTGAGTATTGTCAACATAGACCCAAATTAAGATACTGGATCATAGGGGCATAATTTAGAAAAGAATTTCCTGACTGGAAACATACCATCAAATCACTATCCATCTTTTTCCTGGAAAATTATTTGATTTTAATTTAAGGTGGCGAGAGCAGGTAAATATTAAATGTCGAGAGCCACCATTAAATGAAAAGAAGCAGCAGCTACATAGAAGGAAAAAAAATTTCGGGCTTACCAAAAGAGAAGAGAGACAAGTGGGTCAAAGCTCAAAACTTGGGGAAAGTACAGATTTACACACGAAAAGAACTGCAGGATTCTTGTCCGAAAGAGACCCAAAAGGTTTGATTTTGGGGTTTACCCTCCAAAAGGGACAACACGTTCCTAAAGCTTAAACGGATACCCGTCTCCTTCTTTCGACGTTCTCTCGTCGAAATCGAAACCAAGAAACCGAAGGACACAGAAAAGGCCAAAAGAAAAAAAAAAGGAAGGAAGGAAAAGAAAGATTAAACAGACAAGAAAGAGAAGAGAAGCAGTACGTTCTTTCGGTGCGTTTGCAAGCGGTTTTAAAGGTGGAGAGCAGAAGTCGCAGCGAAGCATTCAACACCTGTCAACAACCAGCAGAGAGAGAGAGAGAGAGAGAGAGAGAGAGACCCGTCTTTTACATAGTTAACGATAGTGAATCTCTGCCATAGGTAGAGCTTAGTGTGTGTGTGTTTTAACAATATCCATGTCTCTGTTTATGGGTCGATGATGTCCCGGTTTTTCAGCTCAGGATGATTGGCTTCAGAGGCTGAGAGCTTCACATTGGTCTATCTATGGTAAACTCTGCTATATCTCTCTGTGTCTCTCTTCTTCTTCTTCTTTTTGGGTAATTTTATTTTGATGTCTGTTTTGGGCTTTTGATCTCTCTCTTTTTTCCCTTCTTTTTTTCCTTTTTGTCCCTCCTTTCTTTGGCTAGTTGTGCGTTTGTTCATGGCGGAGGTTGCAGCAAGAATGGCACCTCCTACTTTCTTTTTTTCTGGTTATTCACGGTATGCTTTGTCTTCTTCTTCCTTTTCGATCATTTGGGTTATGTCCTGTTAGCTTCTGAATCCATCATTTTTACTTTGTTTTTTGGATGATCCTTTGAGGAGGAAGCATGAGTTCGTCATCTCTCTTTTCTGAATAACCGATCCTTCTCTATACTGTGCTATCGATATCTTCTTGGATATCAGCTGCCACATTTTGTCTTTTATATTTTTGTTTTCCCTTTTGTGGCTAATCCGACCTTAACCTTGGTTATTGGGTTTAAGCTACTTGTTATGAGGTTTAGAAGTTGAGGCCCAGAAAGAAATATGATGTTGTGAGGTTCAGGATGGTTTTTTTGTCGGGAACTACTTTTTATCATTTGTTTGTTTTCTTAAATACCATCCACTTTATGTAATCAGTTTTCTGATTGTTGGATATATGATGCTTTTGAAATTTCCTTTGAATTGTCCCCAGTTACCGTGTGGATGATAGTTATCTGACTCTTGTTTTGCATCTGCATTTTGAATTTAGGAACTTCTTTGCATTTTGATGTAATATAGTTTAGGTCTCTGTAGTATACTCTTGACAAGGGAAGCTCCTATTTTATAGTATCCATTTGGTTTAGGCATATGTTGTCAAACTTTTGCTCGTGGTTGTTCATGCCAACAGCAGCTTTATTTTGCTTTTAATTCTTCAAGCTTTTGTAAGGATCTGCTGCAATTAACCATTAACAGGCTACTGGTTCTTTCAATGTGCATCAGAGATGAATTTTGCAGTTTCGATCAATATGAACTTAAACTGTAAATATGCACGATTGTTCAAAGATAATGATGTCTTGTGTTGTTATTTGGCACACGCTCACCTCCATCCCTCTCCCACATGCATGTCAGAGAAACAAATTAGCAGATTCTATTTTTCCCAAGTTTCCATATTTTCCAGCTCTCTTTTGATCTTGCATTTGTAATATTGTTAGGCATCGTGATGTGGATTATGGCAGAAGGCCCGTGAAGATACTGATAGATCCAGTAAAGCAAAAAAAGCGACATGCTGCATTAGCTTCCTCTGCTTCTGCACAAGGTAGCAGATTGTAAAGCTTGTCCTTGCTTGATTATTGCTTCATCGTGTCGCTGCATTTTCTCTGTCTCAGTGTCATGCTTCTGCTACTTGATTGTTAGATTTGAGACTTTTAGACATGGAAAAGGAAAAACTCGATGAGTCATCCCCAAGAGGAGTAATAGAAGCCTGCATCAGAAGCTTGGAACCAGAAGCAGAACCTCCCAAGGAAAAAAGCGAGGAACAGGAAACTCACTGCTCAAATTCAAGGGCACTTTCTCACTGGATCAAATTTTTCACTTTGTGGAAGAGAAAATCAATCAAACGGTTAGCCTCTTTTCCTCCCCTTGCCGTGCCGAAACTATCCAAGAGAAAGAGCAGGAGCATTACAGAGAACATAACTCCTGTGTTGAGTGATATATACAACTTCAAGTCCTCGTTGGTGCATTTCACCTTTTCTGAACTACAAATGGCAACCAACTACTTTAGCCACGGTTTGTAGTTTTATCGATGAATTTAACGCATTAGTAGTGCTTCTAGAGACCGATTTCTTTTCTATATGATCATCAAAGTATGAGGTGCCTAACTTATATGCAGAAAACTTAATTGGCAAGGGTGGATATGCTGAAGTATACAAGGGGTGTCTAAAAAACGGACAGTTGGTTGCGGTGAAGCGGCTGAACAAAGGAACAGCAGATGAAAGGATCGCAAGTTTTCTATCTGAATTGGGCACCATTGCCCATGTAAATCACCCTAACATTGCTAAGTTGATTGGGTGCGGAGTGGAAGGAGGAATGCACATCGTATTTCAATTATCTGCTCTAGGAAGTTTAGGATCTGTTCTTCATGGTGGGTTCATGCCTTATGCAATGAAGCTCTCGACTTTTCTTCCCTTTTTGCATACAATTTGTAAAGTTTTCTTTGCCCTTGTATCACACTTTCCAGGATCAAAGGCTAATCTAGGATGGGATAAAAGATATAAAATTGCCCTAGGAACCGCAGATGGTCTTCTTTATCTTCATGAAAGTTGTCAGAGGCGAATCATCCACAGAGATATCAAGGCTGATAACATCCTTCTTGCCGAGGATTTCGAACCTCAGGTATATATCGAATGGAGTGGACAATACGGTTTCAATGTTTTGGCCAACATTTGCATTGTTTTAATGGCCTATATTGTCAGAGTGGAAAAAGAATCCTTACAAGGCAAAGTTGTTTTGATGACTTATATGGTCGGGTTCATAAGCTACATTCATTTACAAAAGCACATTTTCATGGTGCATCACTACTTTGATTAGTCTTGAAAATGTTTCTCAGTGTTAATTCTTTCTTATGAGCAATTGACAACTTGGAGGCAATTAATTTTCACATCCGCACATGCACGTATTAATTAATGTATATATGTGTCTATACTACATGCATGTGTGTATACGTATGCAAATTAAATAGCTGGAAGAGGACTGCCAGCTGCATCAGTGCCTTAATGTGTGCTAAAATGTCCATCATAAAGAATCCACTGGGGAAGATAGCAATGCAAAGTTACCAAAATAGTTGAACTTGAGCTCTTCAGAATTAGCGATTTTGCTTAGAAAGCTAATTTTTGGACCGGTCGCACTCTCGGTTTCTTATTAATATTCCTATTTATTAGCAAACATTCATGCAGAAAAATACATACCAATCGACATAGTATTCAAACTTCGATTATACTATGTGTGCTTTTCTTGATAATTAAAGCAATTAGAGCCTATAACTCTGGCTCTGTGACTTTAAGTATGGACTAGTCCGCTAGAGTTGACGTGTGTTCTGCCTCCGTAGTTTTACTTAGTACTTTGACGATCATTTTAGGAAGCATTTGACTTTTGCAGAATAGACTGCATTCGGTTTCCAACTTTGCAGTGCAAAGCCTTTACTTTGTAGGTGGCAAAAGGCTGCATTTCAGCTTATGTATGTAGGAACAGTTAAATAGCTTTTCTTTGGTAAGCCAATTGCGTATCCCAATGTTCTCTGCCTCAAATTTCATGAGGTAGTGAGAAATTCACATCCTAGATAGATGTCAATGCCCCTATTGTGTAACGCTTCTGCTGTCGATCTTCAGTTTCATTCTTGTCTTTGAACTGATTTTGTCATTTGAAACGGATGAAATGAAAATAGGTCAATGTCGCTTTTGTAATCATCTGCAAATTGATCACGAGATGCAACGGCAGATGACTTTCTTTTTTTGGGCCATCAACAGCAGATGACTTTGTCTATTTCTATCCCTTATAAAAGCCCATTTTGTCCTTTTGCAAGTCTAATTTATATTGTTCTGTTGTCTATGTGAAGTTGTTTTGCAACTCCTCCTATCTCTTGGTCATTGATTTACTAATTACTGTTATTGTTTACAGATATGTGACTTTGGGCTTGCCAAATGGCTACCAAAACAGTGGACTCACCACAATGTGTCCAAATTTGAAGGAACATTTGGGTCTGTAAGCCTTAAGCTTATTACTTTCAACTAGCTAAATGTTGCCATCCGATTCTCATCCAGATATATACTGACAGCTACTTTGCCCCTGAGTACTTCATGCACGGGATAGTGGATGAGAAGACTGATGTATATGCCTTTGGGGTTCTGCTTTTGGAGCTCATTACCGGGCAAAAAGCATTGGATCATCTAGGAAGAAGCGTAGTTCTTTGGGTAAATCCATCTTCTGTCCGGTGGTCACATTTGATAATGTCCTTATGAAGTTAGTATAATCCCATTCACCCTCGCAGGCAAAACCTCTTCTGGATGACAATGTTATTGAGGATCTCATTGATCCTTCCCTTGGTGATGATTACAACTCCGACGAAATGGATCGTGTGATAATGACTGCTTCGTTGTGTATTGAGCAGTCTCCTATTCTACGTCCTCGAATGAATCAGGCAAGCCTGTTTCCCGAGACTCGCGTCTCAAACTTATCTTTAACCTCGCAAAAGTAATTAGCAACCATCTGACGAGAATCTTTGTGTGTATGATTACCTTTACCATTTGTTAGATGCATGATACTTATCCTTTTTTCAACTGTAGATAAATGAAATACAGAAGTGGGAAAAGATTAATGACATATGAATTACTATATAACCTTTAAACATAAAAACAAAGCAGCGGATTTATCTAATGTGGTCGATATGGAAAGTTTACCATCTTAATGATTTCTATCAAACACGATTACTCAAATTCTATGATTATCTCCTGATAGGGAAAGATCATTATCCGAAATTGATCTGTAGTGGAAACGCAGTTTTGACATGTTGGTGATAGTTTTGTGGGAGAAAACCACTCGGGTTCTCTGGTTGTGATGTCTAGGCATTAAGTCTTTGGTGATAGTTTTGTGGGAGAAAACCATTCGGGTTCTCTGGTTGTGATGTCTAGGCATCAAGTCTTGTGAAACATGAGAAAATTGGGGGATAGGGATTTCAATATTTTCTATGATCTTCATTCACACTATGGTGAATTTCTGCCTCTCATTTGTCTGCGAAAATAGGCCAAAGGATGAGCCCATACATTAGTTGTGTTGCACATTTCCTCAATTTCCTCATTATTTATCATTGTTTTTTTTTTGGGTTGATTGCTTTTCTTTTAAAGAATATCTTGGGTGTTTCAGCCTGAATAATAAGCTCAGCATTTTGTTATATGTCAATGTCTCTGTTGTGAAAAAGGATGAGAAAGACTTTCCAGTTCAAAATTTAGTCCCATGATGCATCCTTTCTAGTTTGGGCATGTTTTGACAGATGACGGCATTTATATCACTCCTTACTTACTGGGGAGATGTTAACTTTTCAGTTTTCAGCTCTCAATGAAGCTGTTGCTGCCTTTTCTAGATATTGATCGACTCACTCTCTCTCTCTCTCTCTCTCTCTCTCTCTCTCTCTCTCTCTCTCTCTCTCTCTCTCTCTCTACCTATTTGCGCGATTGTATGTGGTAACTTCTCGTGTCATTCTGCTGGAATGCAGGTCGCCATATTGCTGAGAGGAGAAAGTTTCATCTCGGAGTGTACAGAAGAAGGTCAGAGGCGTTCCCTCCAGAGAACCTACTCCGAAGAGCTCCTGGACGCGCAAGAATACAACTCGACGAGGTATTTGAGCGATCTCAAACACCACAAGGAGGTGGCTTTGAGCTCTTGACACCAACCGTTCACATCACATCACATATTTGACCAATTAGCATTAGTTAAATAGAACTTTTTTTCCGAGCCGGAGAGTGTTTAAGAGTCCCCTAGTAATGTGATGGATTTTGTGCTGTTATTTCATGGCATATGAGCCCATTTATGATCTTCAACACACAGGCCCTGGGTGAGGTCCCGGATCATAGTGAATCCTAATCCGTCATTTAGTTCTTATACGGGAATATGATTCTCTCCAGTCAAATTCCCGGAAATACATGAGATGAAACTATTTCTTGAGGACACTTAACTCTCCCTAGGCTCTTACAGACTTTTCCTTTTGTGTATATATGTCTCAATTAGGACATGTGGGATATTGTAATATGAAGCTGTGGTGTAACTTATCAGAACATAGAGAACAGGATTTTGAGCAAATTTTGTTTCTTTATGGTGTAAGTCCTTGTCTTATTCCTTTTCTGCATTGCACTTGCAGGAGCTGATATTTGAGAATTTGGCGATTTCTATCTAGCTAGGTTCGGGTCCATAAGCAGTGACAATTGTAAATAACATGTGTCATGAACTTCCATATAAAGCTGCGTATATCAGGAGGAAATAAGAGCTATCACTAACACACTGCAGTCGCAGCAGAAACTAGTGTCGGCCACTAGTGTCGTTGCTCTGTTTATCCATTTCCTTTGGATACTCTGGCAACATTCTCTGTGAGCTATAAATGCTGGTGAATCTGGAAATCCAATTCCGGACCCAGTTGAAATGTTGTCCTGCACAAACAAAGAATCAAACTAGACGAAAAAACATAAGAAAGCTCTGAGCATACTAGAACATGTCTGCTCAATTATTTGGAACAACAGTGTCCTACTCCTAAAGTGGTCCTTCTGTATATGTCGTTAGGTGGCATCCTTTTTCGAACTACCGCGCACGAGGTTGAATTCACTTCTCCGGTCGGGTCATAGGCAAGTTGTTCGAGCCGGATTCGGATTGTGAGAGCCTGCGAGAGCAAAAACTGACTTCTTAGACGGGCTCGAACTGTCGTGGGTCGTGCACCGGAACGCCGGATGATGCGACGCTCGCGTGGTATTTATCAAAGCAGTAATTCACACAGTTACTCGATCTATGATGGACCAGATCGAGACAAGAAATTCCCTTAGAAATTCCCAGACTCGCGGTACTATATCAGGGTCTTAGGCGTGCCTGAGCAGTCCTGTCTACTTGTAACATTGGAGACTTTTCAAAGATCATGTTGGGCCTGAGGATCAAGAATTAAAGAGGGGAAAGTGGGACAGAAAGCACAAGCCTTTGTCGTTTAACAGCTTGCAGCGTCGTATTCCGAAGCAGGGTTTTGATGGTTTGGGGTCCCGCCCCCCCCCCCCCCCACATGAGCCCAAGGTGCAAGTAAACGACAAGCCCTCATGCTAGGGTTTGCTAGGCATATTCTCATCTGCCGAGGAATTTCCCCGACAAATAAATAAGCTTTTCGAGCACCCGATTAATCTAATTAACTTTAAAATGTGCGAAATAGCGGTTCTCGATGCACATAGCTCCTGCAAACTGACATCGTGGCGATACACAAGTTGGGGGGTTAGGGTTCAGGTCTCGAACGAGAAGAGCATGCTTTGCGTTCGAGCAGTCCCGTGCAAGTTATCGTTAACGGGCAATTCAATATAGGAACTTGTAGAGAAAATCATCATTGAGATACCTTTATCCATCTATCTTTCATTCGAGAAACGTTTCGAAAATTTGTACTACGAAAACTCAACTGATGATCATATTTTATGATCTAATTTCTTAGAAAACCCCAAACTTTAAGTTCAATTCCAAATCCGTCCCAAACTTTTTTTTTCAAAAAAAAAAAATCTCAAACTTTTACTCAAATTCCAAATCTGCCCCTGTGTTTAAAAATCGCTACTAGTTTCTTCAAAATGTTGATCAATCAGAGATTCATCATCAGAACTCCCGTCTTCGTCGACACCCTCATTTTCGTGTGGAATAACAATAGTCTATGGAGATTGATTACCTTGAAGAAACCACGGCAACTTTTGGACACGTGAGCAGATTTAGAAAAAGAGTAAAAAATTAAGGATTCTTTTAGACAAAAAAATTCAAGATAGTATTAGGGTTAAACCTAAGTTAGGATTCTTTTTCTAAAGGAATTAGCCCTACAAAATTATAGTGCTGATTATATTATGGCTAGTCTTAAGAACATGGGATTTCAATGCAAGATTCGAAGTATTGATGAAGACTACGAGGAACGTGGTGACAATAGTACCATTCTTTTGTTGCTTTGTCCAATTTGGTTAATTTGGAAAAACGCAAAAAGGAGCAGCTCTAGCTCTAGCTCTAGCTCTAGCTCTAGCTCTAGGTGTCGTACCATTAACATATCTTATTTGGAGAATTATTGGTGCCATCTTTTTGCTAGATAATGGGTTTCAATGGCCTCGAAATCAACTACTGCTATTTCTTGGAAAATGACGCAAAACAAAAGTGCAAAACAAAAAGTTTTAAATTTCCCCTCTTCTTTTTATCAAAAGAAGGAACAATGACATAATCAGTTCTAAAATTTTGGTCCAATATATAATTTGATATCTGAATTTTTAATTTATTTAATATAATCTCTTAACTTTAGCTTAATGTTCAATATGATCTTTAAACTTTTAATTAGTTCAATGTGGTCCTTAGACTTTTGATACATGTTTAATATAATCCCTGAACTATATGAAAATGTTCAATAAAATACCTTAACTTGAATTAATGGAAAGAGTACATTGAAAATTTTCATATTATTCAGGGACTAAATTGAACATGTACCAAAAGTTCAGGGATAACATTAAATAAATTAAAAGTTCAAGGATCACATTATACATTGGATTAAAGTTCAAGGACTACATTGAATAAATTAAAAGTTCAGGGACCACATTATACATTGGGCCAAAGTTTAGGGACTGTGTGTCTTATTTTCCTTTAAACGAATATCAAATTTTACAAAATTTCTCAACCAAATTTTAAATTTTCCCTCTTATTTTGTAAAAAGATTATCAAAGTTTACAAAAATTTTCAACCAAAATTTTACACATGTAGCATGAGAACCATACTTCGTGATGGAAAAAAAGTTATTACATGTCAAATTGCAATTATTTCTCTAACAAAAAGTGCGAAAGGCAAGGGGAAATATAAAGAGCACGAGTAGAGAAGCGAATGTCGGAACTGCAGTCTCTTTCGATCCATTTTGACTTCTGACTTCTGAGTATGTTGTCCGAAAAGTCATTTTTTCCTGGTATTTGGCCGAAACCAAAAAAAATGAACTATAAAATATTTTTCGTCGTTCAATATGAAAAATTTAATTGAGTTTCCTAAATAGATTTACACTATTCAGGCGCTAGTAATTTGTGACAACCGGAGAAATGGGTCTCATGTCCAGTCTCGATGGACCCCAATCAGGGCGCGGGGGATTGGGGCGTGGGCACTTGGGTTTCAGGCCCAACCTCGATTGACCCAAGCTCAAGCATCGGGATCTCATACCTGACCTCGATGGACCCAAGCACGGCCTTTGTGGACCCAAGCTTGGGTGTTGGGGATCCGAGCTCTGGTATCGAGACCTCACGCTCAGCCTTTGTGGGCCCGGGTTCGGGTGCTAGGGCATTGGGTATGGGCATCGAGCTCGGCCTCGATTGACCGGATGCGGGCGACAGGAGCTCGGGTATCGACACCAAGTCCAAGGGTTGCCCTGGATGGACTCGGGCCCCAGGGATACGAGCACCGGCATTGAGGTCGTTAGCCCGGGCACCAAAGATCTGGTTTTGGATGTCGGGGACCCGAGAACCAACGTTGGGTTTCCGTACCCAAGCATAGAGTTTCGGATCAAGCGTTGATTCCTGGTCATATCGTGGAAAATGATTTTCCGATATTTGAAGAGCAAATTATTTTCTTAGATTTAAGCTAACTCATTTCCAATCATTTTCCTAAGCGAATCAAACGCCGAAAAATGAGGAAAATATTTTTCGCGAAACGAACGGAGTCTAAATCAAAGGTTCCGTTTTGTGTCTGTGAAAGCCCAAAAAGTGGGTTGGCCTAATTATAAGATGACCACGAAATTTCGAGACCGATTTTTGTTAAAAGTGGATCTCTTAAGATTCGTGTCTCATGAAAGTAATTCATTATATGCTAGAAAGAGGTACAATTCTGTGCGTGAGAAAGTGATCTAAGATGTTTTCGGACGATAAAGAAAAAAATTCAAACCGTCGTTTTCTGGTGCACGATGGGCACATCACAAAGTCCTTCAGAAACGTAATAATGCGAAAGTGGAATTGAATCAGATGCCACATTGTAAGGTCCCTCTTTGAAGCACCCTGCTTTCAACACACTGCTGCAATCCTGGTTCCATCCATAAAAACACCGCAACGAGGAGCCCCTCTTACCTGATGCCCTCACCTCGTGACAAGTGGCTAACGTGCATTTTGTGCACGCGACAGAAGTTCGACACCTCCGTCCGAAGAGATCGCCAATACCAGCACTCTTCTAGATGGAGATCACTGACACCAATTCTTTATCGTGGGAATTTTCTTACACAGATGACATGCTCATCATATCTCTAAGAAAGAGCTCGAGTCCGACTCCGTCAATATATCTAATCGAATCTATTTTCACTAAAAAACTTAAGCCAATGAATTACGGGCTAATTGAGATACATTAAATACTTCGCACCGCATTAATTCTTCAAGGTGAGACTTTACTGACACTTTTGCGAGAAATATAAACAGTGCCTTTTGAAAATACAGTAAATTGAAGAAGCCGTTTCACTTCCAATTTTTCTCCTCAGTGGTTTTTAAACTGGGGAAAGTTTAGCTACTTAAACGTGTGAAATTCTTCATAAAAATTTCACATCTCTGGTCAAAACAAAAACCAGAAAGCTGAGAAAGCACTCCATTACCAGGCAAATGAAACCTATTTAAATTCATTCTTGACTGCATGGAGATCAAGAAACCTCAAGATTTTGTAATTCTCTAAGCTCATTGACTACACATTCTTCTTCCAATCAGACAACATCGGCGCCACAAACGACAGAAGATACGAAAAAGATAAAGAAAAAAAAAGAGGCAGCAATTTTGATGAGAGAGAATCTCGAAAAGACTGAAAGCATAGGCGTGAAAATAAGGGATAAGGGGGAGCAAAAAGCTAAGAGACAGTAGGTAGATACTGAAAATGATAGGTGCTTTGCCCATCTCCACCTACAAGTCCAATTTTTTTTTTTTCTGCTTTTACTTGTTTTTCACTGTAAGGGTTACCAATGCAGAAAGAGGTGTCAGAGTTCACCATTTGTTGCTTGCTGTAGCAGTTTCTTTCCTCCATTCTCTGCCCTTGATAAAGAAACAAAAACCTCCAAAGAAATTCTCACATGCATAGGGAAAGGTGACAGATGGCAATTTTAGTTTCATGGTCATGTTTAAAGATGCCACTTTCTTCCCTTTCTGCCTTAAGGGGAGCATTTTTTTCTAATTTCTTGCCACTTGGACAATTTTTAGTTCAGTCCAGAAGTTGATCACCACATGTTCTGAACTCATAAATCAATAAGATATCACAGACTTCCACATGCTGGTTTAATATTTTTTGGGTACATTAGTAATTGTCTCTTCTTTCGGTAAATGTACATTGGTAATTGTCTAATGCACTTGACAGCTAAAAAGACTCAAACCAAATAGAGAGAACAAGAAAGAAAGCAGAATAAACAGAGAGAGAGAGAGAGAGAGAGAGTCATCATAATTACTGAAAGAGAAAGATGATAAGGTGAATGACTGGGATGGTCATGGTATCAAGCTTCGGATCTTCTGATAGCTCTTGTTTTGGACTGTATCTAAAAGTATTGGTGTTATTATGAGAATGATATAGTTAAAAGAAACAAAGCAGACACCGCCTGACAAGAGTGACTGCATACACTGTATGAGACAAGCCCCTCCTTCGGAATCTTACTTATATACTCACCCACCCTCAAAGTTCAGTTCAGTGCCATTCTAAAACCAACGCAAATAAACCTTTTTCTGGGTGTCCACGGCTTTTAAATGAATGAGAAATCTCTGAAACTATAACAATGGATGTAGCTCAGTTGAAGAGGCAGTTATTTGCGTACACCGCTCTACTATTTCATGAGGTGAGAACAGCAAAAGTTTGCTCTTTTTCTTCTTTTTTTTCTTCTTTTTTTCGAAGAGTACCCTCAAAGAATGAGTTTCTCTCCTTTTTTTGGCTGGTGAGAAGGGATTTCTGGATGAGCAGTTCACTCAGCTTCAGCAACTGCAAGATGAGAACAACCCGGACTTTGTTGTGGAGGTGGTGTCACTGTTCTTTGATGACTCTGAGAGGCTTCTCAATGAGCTGGCCAAAGCACTGTGAGATTTATTTTCATCATCCGAATGGGTTCCAATTTTCCAATACCCTTTTTAACACATCATCTCCTCAAATAAAATCAGAAAAATTTATGCATTTCTTATCTTTTCCTTTTTGTATGTTTAGAGATCAGCAGAATATTGATTTCAAGAAGGTGGATGCTCATGTGCATCAGCTGAAAGGCAGCAGCTCCAGGTACTCGTCATTTTCAAAGGACAGTTCCTTTCTTTCTTTTAGCATACTAAACTATTTGCTTATAACAGCAAAATCATGAGCAGTTTGAGCAACAGTCGCCCTTTCCCATTAGTCCTCACGGCAATTCTTGTATAATGAACATGTTCCATTAGATGTTTGTCCAAGGTCTTTTCTGGTCCAAACAGAAGATCTCCTTTGGAAAAAGAATGAACAAAAAAAGAATAGTAAAAGTAGAAACTCGTGTGGTCATGCATACAACCACGGCTATGTTCAGGAATGATGGCTCTTCCAATTTCCAAGTCCTGAGCGAGATGAATTGTTCTTTGGAATTACAGCATCGGTGCGCAGAGAGTTCAAAGAGTCTGCATTGCCTTCCGCAACTACTGCCAGGACAAGAATGTCGAAGGGTGAGTGAGTCCCTCCTCATCTCCAACATGACATTAGTGGGAAAAATACAAGATCTACTTCACAATCTCACCATGCAACATAGTTTAAGTTTTTGATAATGATGATCCATTTTCAAACGGTCCTACTTAAGTGGCCGCTTATGTTTCCTCGTTGTGCAGGTGCCTGAAATGTCTGCAACAAGTGAAGCATGAGTTTTCCCTGGTTAAGAATAAGCTTGAGACCCTGTTCAATGTAAGCATCAAGTAGAAGATCCTATTGTTGCCAAATCATTTCTCCAATTTCTTTAATTACTCAGAAGTCTTAATGTTCTGTTTGGTTAATTAGCTGGAGAAGCAGATTTTGGCAGCTGGTGGGTCACCTCCTACGTAATGAAGTGCGAATGGATTTAGCAAATTTTACAAGAATGAAGAAATGTGACTATGAGTCCATTATTTTTTGCTCTTATTCGAGGAGTAACGGTCCTTTATTTGTTTTCCCTCATAACCCATTTTCAGCAAGAACTTGGGTGGTTGCATCAGCTTTCGATCTTCGCTTGTGGCAATATCCAAATCTATGAGTAATCAGAAAAGAACAACGTGAATAAACTCTGCATTGCTCTTATCAGACTTGCGCTTTGTCTATGTATTGTTTTAGCAATAAAATTGACCGCATCTTGTTTCCTACTTGTTGAAAAGAGGAAAAATAAAAACGCTCGCATTCCATTTCGGTTGCACAAGGTAATATTTTGTGTATCACCCAGTCACGAAAAGCCTACATGAAGTGAAGTTTGTATGCTTACAAAGAGGAAGGGGAAAAGGTACTGATCTCTAGAAGATGATTACATGGCTTCGAGGACAGCAATCTAATGTTTTGACCTCCTTTTGGACAGTGACCTTGATTATCCTCCCTCTCAGATGTTAATATTCAGAATCTAAAGTCTTTCTTCCATTTTTATCAGACCCTCTTACCAGATTTATCATGTACCAGTGAAGTGAACATCGACTTATACCCAAAAAATAAAATTCGAAATAGCGATTTTCTTCGTCTTGCCTTGAGGGACGTGCATTATTCTTCTATCGACCCAACAAAAAGAAAAATGCAAAGCGGCCGGCCAGTACAGTTGGCCAGCCAAAACCTGGTGATATAAATTATATAGGGAGCTCAAGCTGAACATTGGTTGGCAATATTATTTAACTTTGAAGATGCAGACCACATTTTTGTAAAGGATCTTCTATTTTTTTATGGCTTAAATTCAGAGGTTACTGTTTCAATAGGATTATCTTTTTTGTTTCTTTGATCACCAAATCTTGATGTCAATTACACATGAATTGAACTGATGTACGTTTTTAAGGTCAACTGTTGTCACTGATGGTTAGCGGATGTCTCCTTGTCTGAAGATTAAGTGCGAATAAGACCGAAATGCCTTAATTTAATGGCACAAGGCCTCATGAAGCGGCCGAAAGGGTTCAATAAATTATATCTTGTGGTACAACTTCCAAGAGATCAAATTGCTGTTCCAACCTCCAATCAAATTAGCTCCATCATTTCCTCTCTCTCCTCTTCTTATTTCTCTTCTCCTGACTAATCGCAACCGACGAAACAAATCATCGTCTTTCAAGAACGAGTGATACTCATCCGAAAAGAAAGCACTTGCACCAACACATTTGCTTCTCCCGTAATTAGCTCTATCCACCACATCTCTGAACGGGTATAGATAACAACTAACAACGGTCGTTCTCATCATTTGACAGAGTAGTTTCAAATTGTTCATTACTGTTTTGTGAATAGTGCGAGCCACACTGGGTTATGAGTATCAAGACACATGAAATGCATCAAGAACTGCAACTGGCAACAAAAAATATAGTGTTTCCACCGAGGCAGAGGACAAATCTCAATAAGGGAAAACAGAGGTTGTTTGGAGGTCCTAAACCGATTCCCTTCCACACGTCAAGCATTTTAATGCAGTCAAACCATACCAAAACCAAGAAGATAGCTGGTCTTATGTCCTTTTCACTGTGTCACGAGCTCTACTATCATTTCTGGTGCTAATGCATGCATGTAGAGATCTGGAGGGAACATATACTTCTTGAAGGACTTTGTTTCATCCTATATTGACAATTTATAATTAAAGCTTCTATATCTCCAAAGTCTAAACTATCCTCACAACATGGCTTTTCGCCAACAACCAACAACTCTTTAAATTTTTCGCTCTTCTTATTAGTGAATAGTGGCCCACGTGCCGTCCACGTACTCTACTGTTGTCTAGTTTTTATGCAGACCATCATGTGTAAACAAAGCGAAAACAGAATCAATCCGAATTCTAAGGGCAAGAGATTACTGATTTCTCTCATTGCTACTGTCACTCCTGCCTGGAGTTCTGTATCTGCTCTTTGTAGCTCACCGTAGCTCCCCAATACAGCGGACTGTCTTTCATTACCTAGTACTTCCGCAAAATGCTCGTAGTATGCATCCTCATTAATGCTTCTCAAAATCTTCACTGGTATTCCTTGTTTTTCGTCGATGATAATTTCTCCAATTTTCGATTCATCTCCATCTGCCAAGATCTTGAGAGGCTTGAACTCAAAAGTCCTGTTTAAGTGAGAAATATTGCTGGCTAATATCACTGCTCCCAGAATTTCCCCCAAGAATAAATCCTGCATAGTGATATATTATAAAGTAGATTTTTTAGATGTGTCAATTCTCAAAACAGAAGAATGTGCAATCATCGCCATATCTCCTCAGAGTTTCTTCCCTAAATAATTGAATTAATGCGTTATACTACTCTATGATGAATCATCTTCGACAAAGTAAATTGCTTTAACTGTGGTTTTACTCAGCGAGTAATATTCACATGTACAGGACCTTCAGCTAATACACAGAGTGATGATAAAGCTCTCTTACCATGTGATGATATCTGTTATGTTTCTGCCGCAAGTTCCACAGTGTCGTAAGTAGATGATGGGCCATTGAAGCTTCAGGAGTCCTGTTCGCAAATTGTAATTTGTTTAATATTATCGGGAAGGAACTGACCCTCCTTTGCATACTGAGTGGAATGAGGGTTATGTTAAGTCCCGAGGTGAAAACAGCCTTCGCAGCTAGAGGATCAAGAAACATGTTGAATTCTGCGAATTTGTTGCTAGGTACAGTAAAGAGATTTCCTCTTTCATTGCCATCGCCAACATGTCCCCCAACAACATGTATATCCTACAAAATAGAATTGAAATAGTGGAAAATTTCATCATATAGGCCTTTTTTTTCGAGGAATCAGATAAAACAGAACTGTCACGACATTCATAATGTGATTTCAAACATGTGCCAAATGAACCTACGATAGAAGTTCTCAGTTTCTCACATTCTAAAACTAATAATGGAATCTGAAAATCAAGCGCGATCACTACGGATCATTTATACTTATACCTGTGACGACAAATTTATCCTTGTCATTGGATTTACCTGGATCACCGAGCTTGAGTTTTTCAAATGAATGATTGAGGCCAAGTTTGTTAAGGGTCCATTGCTCAATATGGTAATTTTGGCTGCTGGCTCTAGTGATTTGACAACTGATTTCCAGACATCAACTGCAAGAGGCTGTCTAAATTCAGGGTGATCAGTATTTCGAGGAGCTCCAAACCTCATCGAATTTTCTGCCGTGTATCTGACACAGAAGTTAAGAGCCGAGATCAGCATATTCTGAAAGACTCAAATGCATTAGTTATTTTGCCTCCCCTAAGTTGGAGAAACGAATTTATTAAACATTTCTAAGCAAGAAAGTGTCAAACGAATAAAAAGCAGGACAGCCTATCATACGTGCAACCAGTTAACTTTCTGATGTTTCTTATTTAGGCAGACAATATGCATAATGGCCCATGGGACAGAAAATAATCAACTTTTGCAAAAGAGAGAAGTAACAATGATAGGTGCAAAACCTTCTAGGACTACTAGGCAAATCACGAGACAATCCGTACAGCGTGTCGGCATCTAAGAAGCCACCGCTGCCTTGAGGAATGGCCTTTCTGTACTTGCAGTCCCCTATAGCAGGAAAAGTTGGATCTGTCTGTTCATATGCAAATGCATCTCCAAGACCAACCGGAATATCATCCCGACCCATCATGTGTAACACATCATAAACAATGTCAACTGTTGCAGCGGTAGCCCAGCCAGTTGAACTTCCTATTATGCCCTATTTGTCCATAAGCACATTAGCAGCAGTAGAAATGGTTCGGGGAGAATTTTAGCTACAGATCATAAAGTGTAAAAGGGCTCCAACAATTATCAATTGTTTCCTGAGTCTGATTTGTCAATGACTGGTGCACGGTCGCAATTCCTACCTTAAGGTCGATAATTTCCCTCGGTACTTTCAAAAGATACAAAAGAGACAGAAAATCTCCAGCACTCATATCCATGTCGAAGACAACTGGTTTTCCAGTGGACCTCATATCGCTGTCTGGCTTAAGCACAATTTCCTCGTAGTGAGGAAACTGTGTCGTGATGTTGAACCTTCCACTTTGTTCGGGATTGTTTAAAACCTGAAACAGCACCAAAAATCTTATTCATCATGCAAGTAAATAGCATCAGCTTAAACAATGGACTACACAGCTAGCTATCTGCATGGCATTATTCTATTTGGTGCCGTCAAGCCACTCAAAATTCGTCTTCACAGACATATAAAAGAAAGAGAACCTTCTTCATTTCAAATAGTGAAAACAGAACATATTGCGCTTCGGACAAAAGATCTCACGATAGTTTACATTCAAGAAGCTTTCGTAGAACTCTTTGTTCAGCGAGCTTTTGGCGTCTTGACTTGGCTTAGCTTTTGTCGCAACAAGAACACGCACTGCTTCTGGACCAGTTACCTCCTCTGTGTAACCATCCTACAATGCATACCTTTAAATGTATTATCTTGAGGTTCATCACTATGTTGTAGTAAATGAAAATAGCGATTGCCTAATCATCCATTAAATGCAGCAGTACATGATATTACTTGTGAAATATTCATGCACTATAAGTGGAAGATGGCCTTTATTTATAAGGTTTGGAAGCACCTTCTTGAGCATGTAGCAGGTCTTGCTCACCTGAGTTTTGTTATGAATAATATACCGACTTATTGAAAAGTAGATAATTGATGCACTAGGCACGGATATTATTACCACAAAGTCATATAATTCTAATGGTAAAGTGAAATTAAATTATCGACTAATACTGACTAATTGGAAAACATGACACATTAATGCCCCAGGCACATATATTATTACGACAAAGTCCTATAATTCTAATGGTTTAGGTAAAAGTAACTACCTGACATGTCCCTTTACTCTCTGCTTCGCAAAATGGATCTCGCATTCCCATCTGAACATGACCACTATGCACTCCATTGTCCCTTAGTCTGAACTTTGGGACGGGAAGCCCATCAAAGAAGGGATTGGAGCCATCCGAAACTCCATAAGGTTTGTTTGAAGTAACAACCGTGATGTTCATGTACTCCATCTCAGCAAATGCATTTTCCACTTCCAAGTTTTGCTGATTTCGCATTTTAGATATTGCCACTCCAACCATAAACGAGTCCCACATACAATAGTTCTGGAAGTGATCATTTCATGAATCACCAATCTTATCTAGGCAACTACAGCACAATTCTCAATAGTTCTGGAAAATAGAAATGTGTCAGGACATACCTCGTGAAAATCATCACTGAACCAAGTATCGCGAACCATTTTCAATGATTGGAAACAATATTGTGCCTCATACGTATCTTGCCTCCTTTCGAATGCCTGGAAGAAGTTCTTATCAATGGGAATGGTTCTCGTTGCATCCAGAGGAACGAGCGTGACTGGGATTCCTGAATGAAGTACCTGGACTGCAAAACACTCTTAGGATAGACAAGACCTTGAATGCTCACAAATCTTTGTCCTAATGCAATGTATCATCATTCGCAAACAAAGAGAGCATCAAGATTAAATTTACCTCATATGCAGCAAAAGGATCTCCAAAAATGTTGAACTCCGCATATGGGTTGCTATCTTGAGGAAACAAGTTGCCAATGTTAGCAGAGGCAGCTGGTTGAGAATGGTCACTGACATTCGAGCAAGTGGACCTAATAGCACCACCCATGGCATATATGTGCTCGACATTTCTCTTCAGATGAGGATTGGTCATGAGAAAAAGCGCAAAATTGGTATGTGTTCCCATCAGAAATACCGTGATAGGACCTGAAGATATCGCATCTTTCATCACTTGCTGCGCACTAGCTTGCTTGAGAGGGATATATTTCCTGCGGCCCTGTTAATGTCAAGTTGCTAGAGCTAGATCTAGAATAAAGTATTTAATTCGGAGGAAAAATGATACGTTGCAGTGGCAAACCAACCTCGACACTCGAGAATAGAAGATGAAGGCAACAGCTATCCCATATAGTAAAAGTTTACATATATTTGGCTTAGAATTTAGTCACTTGTGAAACCGTTTGTCTACTAATAATGAGCATAAAACAATTTGTAGCAACTAACTAAATGCATTATGGCAAATCTGGCCTTTGAGGTAACAACGCACATTTTTATCCAGCACAACAATATATTACTCCTATCCGAAAAAATGAAGTTGTAAGATACATACATCAAGCACTAGATCATAGTAAACACAGACAATCTGCATTAATGAAAGTACATGGGGATGTGCGATATAATTGACCGCATTAACTTTGGCTACCTTCGGAAGGAACCCCTTTCTTAAGCCGTAGTTTGTGTTGATATCCAACCGTCCCCTAAGACCCAGCGGGATCGCTTGTCTATACCGGCACCCTCCCTCTGTTGACATTCCCTGTGAGAGAATGCTGTGATTAATAAATAGAAAATAGAAACTAAGAACTGAAATGAGCTTTATAGTAACACCTGGTCAATAATAGGAAGATAACCGCCAACTTCTGGCATTATAATCCCATTTGGCGAAATACCGCCTTCACCGCCTACCCCCACTGGAATATCATCGCGATTCATCATGAAAAGGATGTCATATAAATGATTGATTGCATGCCCAGCATCACTCCATCCATTTGCATTAATAGTAATAGCCTGCAATGATTTGTTAGCATCATTTAGGCTTATATGCAAGTTTCTACACTGGTTAAATTCAAAAGAGCTGCTGAAACTTCAAAGAAAGAAATGACCTGTAAGTCAAATTCACTCCTGTTCTGTTTCAACAAATACAGGAGAGCGAAAATGTCGTCGATGTCGAGATCAGTATCGACAAGAATCTGGCGAGGCCCAGCATCCAAAACGTTCATCATAAATCCGATACATCCGATCAACGCCATTATTCGAAGAATTCCGGTCGATGCCATGGTTCTGTGGTCCAATCCCAGATAGAAGAAAATTCCATCCAATCATGAAAACCAAAACGTCACAGAGAAAATGCGAAGCATGTATTCAGGTACCGCTTGACTGAGGTACCGTTTTCAACACTCTTCTCATAGCTTGCCAGTGAATCATTGGTAGGATCAGATGTGAATTCAATGACATTTTTTTAAATTAAACAGAAAGAAGAAGGAACTTTTCACTTCAAAGTGATTGATACAATAATGACATGCACATCAGCTGCAAATTCTTTTCTATGCAAAAGCAAGACAGTTTTTCTGCTATGGCCTACATTCTTTCTGGCAAGTACACAATCTGATATTATTCTCCTTAAGAGAACCATAAACAAAGCAACAAAAGAAAACTCAATGACCGCTTGAAACATTTACCTGATAACGCAGAGCTCCTACAGAATCCTTGTTTGTTGGAAACCTCTATTCAGACTCTCATTAATTTTCTTTCAATTGAAAAGAACTTTTCTTCCTTTCTTCTTATCATGAAACTCATGGAAATATGAACCCACATCAATCTACCTTCACAAGGTAGGCTCTTTATCAGGGATGCAAAACCAGGGAGGTGGTTTTGTATGGTACTGCTGGTCATGGAAAATTTGTCAGCTCTGGAGGAGAAACACGGGACAGGTTCCGTGTATGTCCATGAGACACGTGGAAGGTCAATATATTTGGGAGGACAGTGGAAAATCTGGGAATGAGATGATGATCACTTTATGAAAGGCCAATGAATGAATGGAGCACAAAAGGCAATGTGGGTCTAAGACTATCCATTTACCATATAAAGTTGGTGTAGGAATGAATGTGGACCATTTGTCTCGCACTTTGATCTCTACTGTCGGGTGAATGTTCAAGGGTTTTGGTCAATTGGTGGAGACAACTCTTCTTCAGGCACAACATGAATGCACTTTCGTTGTCAAAGATCAAGCCTTATCAAACATCCTTCTTGTCGTTTAGTCATTGAACCATGGACGAGAGTGAGAGTTTGTTGGGTTAAATTGTGCAGTCAAATGTCCCAAGAATGACAACTACTCTTCCTTATGTGGGAATTGCCTTGATTTGTTTTTTATTATGCCGTGCACAGATTTTTTGTTTTGTCTCTACATATCTCTAACTCTCATCACTCTCTGACTTTTGCTCTGCCTCTTGCAGAACGCGGGAGTCGAAACCCGCACCTGTGATACTAGCGTCCCCACCCTCAATCTCTTTACCAGCAAAGCCGCATGCTTATTGGCATGTACACAGAGTTTACACGGTATATTTTGTGTGAGTTATGATGTACAAAGTAATTCGGCTAGAAGCACTTCCCTTTTGGTTGCCAAAAAACACACAGAATCCCTACTTTTATTGGGGAGCAAATCAAGGATATGCTCCACTTTGAGTGGCATTTTCTTTTTTAATGTTGGGTCTTCAAGCCTCTCAGCATTTGGCCCAGCTTGATTTAAAAAAAAAAGAGAGATCTAGTACTGGGTAGTGCTAACAGAGATTCGGTTTGGGCCGTAACTCAACCTTCCTCGCGTGAATTTGATCGGCTCTTGGACCGGGCGTTCTACACACCACGAACGAGAAAGTCGTGGAATTTTTCGGACCCTCCGACGCTCGAGTCCGTATGAGCTTTAAGCGACGAATGAAATTAGCTGAGCAATGGCTAATGTGTGCAAAAAGTTCTTATACCTCGAATGGTTGTTTCCGAATTCTTCATCTCATTCCCGTCTCGTTCGAACTGGACCTTTGGTGTACGAACGGGCCTTCCTCAGTTCATGGATTTTTAATGAGCCACGTCAATGGGCTCATTTCTGACTGTTGTTGGGCTTCATGCAAAACTAGTGTTATCAAGTAGTCAACGAGACGCTGAACGAGCGAGCGAGAGAGAGAGAGAGAGAGAGAGAGAGAGAGAGATTTCTTTTAACTTTATGCCAAGATCGCCACTGTACGGCAGCACAATATATACTAGATGGGATCGAGTAATTGTAATTCATTGATTAGTTGCCGATTATTGACCGCGAATGAGGATATGGCCGAGGATTTCGATAAGAAATACTATCTCTATTATACTTGGCATTAAATGAATCTTCTTGGGCCTGTTCTGGATGTACAATGCAATTTCAAGAGTCAAATTTCGTTTCAGTTCAAGATAGGATGAGAAAGATGATTCAAAATTGGCTTTGGTTTGTTCTCTCTCTCCTCTGAACTCGATCGATCACATTTTTTTTTGGTCGAAGGTCAACCACATTGAGACGGTCGATTTGGTCACCAATCCAATGGCAAGCCTCACTCTCCAGTCGAATTTGCCCTAAAATCTCAAGTTTAGATCCTCTCGATTGTCGATGATTGGCATTAAGGTCATCGTTGGCATCGGCGTCAACCATTGACAACCGCCACAACTACCTAGTTAGGGGTGAATGGTTCTAAGGTGGGTTGATTGCCATCTTGAAATCAAGAATTGGACCAAAAGGGCCAGTTCCCAATTTGTGGAATTGGAAACTGGCCCACCTAGTTCTAAACCTACCCAGGAACCGGATTGATTTGTTCCGTACGCTTCTGGGGTGCGTCCAGGATTGGCTCTCTGGGGTGCGTCCAGGATTGGCTCTCTTTGGCTCTCTCTCTCTCTCTCTCTCTCTCTCTCTCTCTCTCTCTCTCTCTCTCTCTCTCTCTCTCTCTCTCTCTCTCCTGCAAGATCACAAGTGGTGTTGCATAATCTAAACTACTACACGAATGATGTTAATAGAATAAGCTCGTGATAAGCTAAACACGATGATCATCTTCACGACACAGAGCTATAATGATCATTAAGAACCATAATTAATCAACTGATCATCAACTACAAATATAACATACTCGAAATTACAAATTACCTTCTCGTGTTTTAGAGTTTCACACAAATCACACTAGACACAACTTCACTCATCACTTGAGAGGGAGGCAACAAGGAGGCGTCAAGTGAGAGGGACAAAAGGAGGCATCGAGTTGCGAGCAAGAGGGAAGTAAGAGGCGTGAGCATGATTGGTATTGAGAGAAGCGAGAGGCATGAGAGACAAACATGGGCAAATGAGTTTGAGTGAGAATGAGGGTTTTGGAAATTTGGAATAATAGTAACTAAAAAAAATCGGTTCAGTCCGGGTGGTCCAGATGGATGGGTCTACATCTGGAATCGGGAAACAGACCGATATTCACCGGTTCCAAGTTTTAGAAACGGGGAACCCCCAGAATTGGCTGGTTCAGTCCAGTTCTTTTGCTCACCCCTATGACCAGTAGCTCTCCCAAAATTGGCCAGTTCGGTCCGGTTCTTTTGCTCACCCCTATGACCGGTAGCTCCGCCGCGATCACCGGGGGGGGGTTTTTTCTCCCGCTAACCTCCCTATCATCTTCTATAGCCCAGTCATATCCCAAACTAGGCCGAAAACCGAGTCCAGGAACATGCAAAATTCACAAGCCCATGGCCCATGTTCACACGCGGGGGACCCCCCCACTACGACGCCGTTCCGTGTCAAATTACACGAAGCGCGAAGAAGCAGAGTCAAAAAAGTTCAGGAAAGCCCCCCCCAGGGCAGGGAAAACGTCGGATTCACTTCCGTTTCCCGCGAGAATCAGATCCGACGGCCCCCGCGCCACCCGCCACGCTGGCGATCCGCGTGACCCCGGGGCCGACCAATCGCCTCGGCATCTCGCGCTCTATTTATATTCTTCCGCACCCACCATCCCTTCTCCACGATCTGCCCCCCTTTTCCTTCTCCCTGTAGCGTTCCCTTCCGATCTCCCACTGCAATCGCCTCCCAAATTTCTCGGTACTTTTTCGTCTAGGGTTTCGCTGTGCGCGTCTCTCTCTCTCTCTCTCTCTCTCTCTCTTAGTTCGCTCGAATCGGGGGAGAAGATGAGCTCGAAGGAAGGCGGCGGCGGCGGCGGCAAGGGCGGGAGGGGCAAGCCCAAGTCCTCCAAGTCCGTGTCCCGGTCGCAGAAGGCCGGCCTCCAGTTCCCCGTCGGCAGGATCGCCCGGTTCCTCAAGGCCGGGAAGTACGCCGAGCGCGTCGGTGCCGGCGCTCCGGTCTACCTCTCCGCCGTCCTGGAGTACCTCGCCGCTGAGGTTCGATTAGTTCTTGCCGGTTTTTTCTCCTCTTCTTTTTCGGGGTTTGTTCGGCTCGATTGGTGTTGGTTGCTTTTTCGAAGTCCCTTGAATGTGCGCTGAAGGATAGGGTTTGGTGAAGTTGCTCGGTTCTGGAAGGGGCTTTTGTTACGGGTTGATTTTCGTAATTGGTGTTCCTCGATAGAAAATTTTCAACCTTTTCGTTCTGGGTGCTTTTGGAAAATGGTTGTTCTGGCTTTGCTCTTTGTCGCTTGATTGTTAATGTCTGTTTTTGTGCGGTGAAAATCGATTCAGAGAATCATCTTGTGGTCAAGCCCTCGAACAGTTTAAGGTTGGTTTCATGTTTAAATCTAATGAAAGCTTCTTGTGTGGGTTTAGGTGTTGGAACTTGCTGGAAATGCTGCGAGAGACAACAAGAAGAACAGGATTGTCCCGAGGCACATCCAGCTTGCGGTGAGGAACGATGAGGAGTTGAGCAAGCTCCTGGGTTCTGTGACCATTGCGAATGGAGGGGTGTTGCCCAACATTCACCAAACCCTGTTGCCGAAGAAGATGGGCAAAGGGAAGGGAGACATTGGATCTGCTTCGCAGGAGTTCTAGGGGGTTTTTGTTTGTAGCTTGGGTCTTGTATCAGAGATTTTGCCATGGGATGACTTCTAGTGTATATGTTTGAATATGGGGTTTTCAGGTTCTCTCTTGCAGGGAATCCTGATATCTTAGTAGGATCATGTTTTAATCAAATCAAAGGGTTTTTCTTTGTTTATGTTTCCAGATGAGTGGATCTATTGATCTTGAACTTGGTATCTTCACTGCTTGTTGTGAATGTACACTATATCAAACTTGAGTTAGTACAATTTGGGCCTCCAGACATTGATTACGAATGCCCAATTTCAGTCTAGTTGAAGAGGGTAGAGGTCTCCTTAGACCATCTGGATGAACCTCGAAACAGTCTATGGTTGTAGATTTTCTCATTCTTCAAACACCGAAGCAGCCTCTCAAGATGAATCAATTCTCTTTTCTTAGTACTCACAAAACATTTAACTTTTTTAGCATCAACATCATCACTCTGCAAACTAATACAGGGTATACAGGGGAATGAAAAACGATGAGTTGGGTTACCTGGTTTTATGTCTGATGTAGAGAGTTCTCTATGACATTAATGCTGGATCCTATTGATTTTCCTGACCGCATGGCCTTGGCTAATTGTAGCCTAGTCTCATGATGGTGGTGCAGGATGAAGGCAGTATTCAGAGATGCCCATTTAACATGAGATTTCACTGCAGATTCTGTTAAGCCCGACCATCTCATAACTCTATCCAGCTGTTGAATTGCATCAGATCAAAATGTTACTCGGAACAACCTAAGTGAACATTCTTCAAAACTCAAGTAAGGCAGTGTCGAAATGACCTTATCAACATCTGAATGCAATCCTTCAGAGTAGCCAAATGAAAGAAGCTCTGCCACTAAGCCTCCCAGGATGACACAGGAAAAATTGTTCAAAGTCTGCAGGTTTAAAGCATGTTACAAGCAGGGAAAAGCTTCGAAGGAGTAAATTTTTCATAAATTCAGACTATACAAGCCCCATCTATCAGCAGTGACAACACTCGGCTTGCGAATATTAGCAGGACAAAAAACCATGCTTCGTTTTCTTTTATCCAACAGTAAGACCGGATTTGTCATAAAATTGAGATTCTTTCCTTTCCTTCCTTATTAGAGAGGGGCCGCTTAGGGACCAGGGCGTCTTAATTGAAAAAAGGGGACGTGATCATAAGAATCAAGTAAGAAAACACTACCTTGGAGGATATGCATCTCTTATTAACCTGCATTTATGGGATAAGAGAATTAGTACAAACCTGAGTAGAAGCAAACCGGAATGGAAACACGGGCTCTAGGTTTTCACCCAAAGATATACTACGTGACTGCAGTCAAATCCTTCCCTTTCTGTCCTATAACAGTAGATTTCCAAAATGTAGAGACTCAAAGCCTCATGAACATCTTTAAAAGCTTCTGGACAAGTCTTATTGTGCTTAAATTAACTGTTGCTTGTTTCTTGTGAGCTAAGTATGTTCATAGTGACATACAGGGGGATTGGGGAAGGTCCTGTGAGAAGTGGATAGGGGTGTTGTGACGGTTTCATATGCAGAAGTGATATTATCATGACATACAGAGAAGAAGAAAATAATCTCACTCTATAACTTGATTCTCTGCTGCCGATGGACTCATTTAATGTGTCCAATACGGGAACCTGTATTTCAAGACAATCAAGAAAGGGGCATATATTAAGAGAGGAATTGGTATATAAGCTGCATAAAATCATACCATTTCACAGTAAGGTTCAAAAGCATTAACAACCTTGACCTTACAGATCGACCTACTGAACAGCCTAATCCTCGATTTACTTGTGGTCTGATTTGGTCAAAGTTTCAATCACAAGAAAACCATGACCAGGTCAAACTCACCCGTTAAAACAGTCAAAGCCTCCTTACCTCTCTAAGAAATTCAAAGCCCACAAACTTCACAGTCCCTCCAGCAAATTGATCCTGGCTCGAATTGCCTCTCTTCAGCACCTTATATTCTTTCGGGAGGACCCCGAGTAGATAAGCAACTAGGAAATGACCCGCTTCGTGCTGCAACAAATGCATTTCTGTTCAAACAAATCCCCGATGTGAAGGAGACATGAAAGTCGAGGGCGGCACAAGATCAAGCTCGGTCATGTTCAACTATCAAGCTACAAATGAGCGAAAGGTTGATCCTTGAATGACGTTCTGCACCTCAACTGAACAATGCATCACGGGTGTTGCATTCGAAAAACGGAAGCTAAAATCTTCCAATGTCGACTGCTTCTTTGTTCATCGAAGCATCGGAGCTCAGTGCCGAAGCGCTTGGCTCACTAACTAGAGACCCGACAGAATAGCTCTCACCTGTGTACACATGAAGATGTCTTCTTCCCCGAGAGACTGATCATTTCCTTCTTCAAGCACTACACTTTGCCTTCCACTTCCCGACACCTGCAACAGAAGAAACCACTCTAAGCGAGGCAAAGAGATTTGATTGCAGATTTCATTCTTCACTAAAAACCCAATTTGCACAATTTCTCCATACGATGCATCAGTCTTTGAAAGGAAAGAGCCAGTGAACGTCCATACACGGTCCTCCGTTCGAGCAAAATCAAGGCAGCTCTGTATGGAATCCAGAATTGAGTCCACCAGTGGACCAAGATACGACAAGTCCATGCCGTTCAGCTTCAAATCATCAGGCAACCATACCCTTTTCGGAACCTGAAGATCCCATTCACCAACGAGAGTATCGCATCACAGTAACGAACGAGAGAGAGAGAGAGAGAGAGAGAGAGAGAGAGAGAGAGAGAGAGAGAGAGAGAGAGAGAGAGAGAGAGAGAGAGAGAGACGATACCTGCTTGGCGGAGCCGAAGCCGGCGAGACCGCCGGCCGCACCCCGCAGCCGCTTCGCGATGGCCAAGGCGCTGCGGTAATCACGCTTCCCGAGCTCCCGGTCCAGCCGCAGGAGAGATCCTCGGCGCCGCTCGGAAGGGTCGGAGCGTCGGCCGCCGTCCGCCGCGGAGATGCACCGCCGGTGGTCGGAGACGCCGGCGGAGCCGCTGCACGCCAACGCATGCATGTTGCTCAGCTCAGCTTCCGCCGCCAGCAAAATGGCCACAAAATCTGCATCACCATCATCGTCATCATCTTGGTAAATTTTTCGTAATCCAAGTTACTTAATTAATTTTATATTTTTATTTACAGCACAAATATAAATATATATTTTTTTTATATTTAATTTTTTGGTTCTTGCGTTCTGTGGTCGGAAATGAACGGAACGGAAAGTTACTCCGACCAACACCACGACCACCAAGAGTTGCGTTGGACTCATGCAGAAGAAGCTACCCGCAGCGTTGGCCTCTGCCGAAACGAATTCCTCCGGGGATGGGGACCGTCGGCTTCTACGGGAGCTTATCGCACGACCCTCGATTGAAAGTTCCGATCCTGAGGACGATCGTCATCAGGGCGTCGTCGTCGGCGCCGCCGCCGCCGCCGCCGTCGCAAGTCGAGTTTTCGAGAAGGCAAGTTCTTGAGCGAGTGGACGAGGAGCTAGCTAAAGGGAACGAGAGGGCGGCGCTGGCTCTGGTGAAGGACTCGCAGGGCAAGCCCGGGGGTCTCCGTTGCTTCGGTTCCGCGAGGCAGGTTCGTGGATTTGCGTCACTTCTTCTTTCTATGCGCGCGAACCTGTGTTTGAATCAGAGCGCTCGGTTCATTTCTTGAGTTTTTGTTTTGGGAGGAGTGTATGTTTCTCAGATATGAATGGACGCTTTTACATTGTCGGAGCAAACGCAAAATTGAACCTTGTTTCATCTCTTTGTGGGTCGTGGGCAATGCAGACTTGGATAGTGCAGAGTTTTTCATGGATTCTTGTAGTCTTTCTCCTATTTTTTTCTTTTCCCATTAACGGGTTATTGTAGGAAAATATGGAGGAGAGTCCTGTGATTTTGTGGGCAATGATGAAGCATACACCTGTTTGAAAGTTTTGGGATGACTTAAGTATATGCTTCGTGGGACAGACAAGGAATGGAGATATGTGTACTGTTTTGCAACGGAATGATGCGTAATCTTGAATAACAATCTTGTAGTCTTGAATAAGAATCTTGCCAATTTTGTATTCAACCCTTTAATATCATCAAGCTGTTGACATATTTGAAGTTGTTTTTGGAAGGGAATGTCTCAGTCATGAATTTGCTGTGCCTTGTACTCAGTTATTAATGCTCCGATTGCAGGTACCGCAGCGGCTTTACACTTTAGATGAACTGAAGTTGAATGGAATCGAGACGGCATCGCTCTTGTCTCCGGTAGACGCGACTCTTGGTGCTATAGAGAGAAACCTGCAGCTTGCTGCTGTCGCTGGAGGGCTCTCCGCGTGGAACTTGTTGGGTCTTAGTCCCCAGCAAATCTTCTATATTTCTTTGGGCCTTTTGTGTCTGTGGACTTTTGACTCGGTAATTTGCTTGAACCATGTATTGAAACTTGAAAGCCAATAATTCTGGTCCCTATTAAATGACCAAAATAAATTTTGTTTTGTGACAGCATTAGACTCTTCAAAAAGTCCTATACTTCTAGTCTTGTTCTATTTCCGTTATTTATGCGTGACGTCTGGATTGAAGTTTGAGGTCGGTCACAAACATGCCCCACTGCTTTTCCCCTACACAAAAGAGGCTAAAAATTGTAACTAGTAGACTAAGAGGGCGTTAAGGAAAGGTGACCTGAATTGTCATGAAGTCTGCTACACAAGCAGTAGAGGAGTGCAGCAGTTTTTGCTGATTTGCTACACTTTGTACATTTGTTTTGGTCTTTTGAGTCATTTGTATGTCTTTTCAAGCAAATGTGCAAATCTTGCTGTGTTTAAAATGCAAATATTCGCCTGTTCATGTAGGTATCTTTCAATGGAGGAGTTGGCAGCTTGGTTCTTGATACAATTGGCCATACTTTTAGTCAGAAGTATCGCAATAGGGTTCTTCAAGTGAGAAAAATTTCTCTCTCTCTCTCTCTCTCTCTCTCTCTCTCTCTCTCTCTCTCTCTCTCTCTCTCTCTCTCATGCTCATTCACAACCCTACTGAGATATTTATGGTCCCTCTCTATTCATGGCATCCTGAAAGTCATCTATTTTCAATTATATTCTACAACTAAATTATTGCTGCATCTTAATACCCTGACATGTATTTCTCGCTGTTGTCTTTTCAAGCTTTGGTAAATACCTTCTTCGGTCTGAGAACATTTTCCTAGTGATGAGAGCTTCCCTGTCGTTGATTGAAAGGCTGAAATGTTGCGCAGCATGAAGCCGGACATTTCTTGATTGCTTACCTGGTCGGAATTCTTCCTAGGGGATATACAATCTCCAGTTTGGATGCTTTAAAGAAGGAAGGCTCTCTCAATGTCCAAGCTGGGACTTCTTTTGTAGATTTCGAATTTCTTGAAGAAGTAAATTTTCTAAAACTCCGCCTCCTCTGTACTTATCCATTACTTTCTTTGTTGGTTGATGTGTGTCGCAAATTATTGTGCCTTAACACAATTCGACTGCTCGTCGGCCATGAAGAGACTTGTCATGCCTTCATTAAGATATCCTGTCTACAATAACTGCATTCTTCAATCCTGCTACTCCTGCTCCTGAGCAAACTGTTAAGGGCAAAGCGAGCCATGAGAGAACCAAGATGCGAGTGGAGGACGCATTTAAATGTTTGACTTGTGGCAGCATTGACGAATTACTTGCTGCCTGGTAGGCCCAGGAAAAAGAAAAACAAACAATCTATGGTCAAGTTTCACTCCGCTGATATAATAGTTGTAGACTGGTGTTCTGAAATTCAGTGGTTAGTAAGTGGGCTCTCTTCAACATGCAGGTCAATGCGGGAAAAGTATCGGCGACGGTATGTGTTCTTTGACATGCCCACGATCATAACCATTTGCATGCATATGTGACATTGCTGCACTAAGGGACTTGAGCTATTTCTTTTAGACACTCAACAAATTTGCCTGCATAGCACTCGCTGGCGTGGCGACTGAATTTCTTCTATTTGGATGTGCTGAGGGAGGTCTTGCAGACATAAACAAGGTAAGGCTGAGTCCCTTTGGTCCCCACCATTTCACTAAATCATGCCTCGATCATTCGAGAGCAAAGAGCGAAATGATGCAGATTCTAACACCCTCAAGTGAAATTCTTGCGTTCCGTCGAAACAGTTGGATCTATTGCTCAAGGGCTTGGGATTCACCCAGAAGAAGGCGGACTCTCAAGTCAGATGGTCGGTGCTTAACACGGTCCTGCTGCTGCGCAGGCACGAAGTGGCTCGGGGGAAGCTCACGGAGGCAATGTCCGAGGGGAAGTCTATCGGGTCTTGCATCGACGTCATAGAAGACACCATCGGCGATGCGGACATCTAGATCTGATCGTGAATCATCGTCGATTCTTCTTCTTTGGGTTGGCAACAGAGTTGCTGAGATCTCAAGTCCTGTCATGTACGTAGAGAAAATTTTATCAGATCCCTTTCATCAGGATCATGATAATTCTTAGTGACTTCATTCCAAACTACTTACTTGAATTGTAAATCCTCAATTCGATCTATGTAACATAGTCAGATTAAACATGTGTTGCTTCAAGTTCTGGAGCATTTCTTTTGAGTTTCATTTTTCATTGTGGATATTTGTAAAAGCTTTCCAATTAATCCGCATATTTTTCCCCTGCAATCTCTTGCTATATTGTTTTTCTTTTCTTGCTATGTTATTTGTTTTTGATATGTTATTTTGAATGATTTTTAAAATGACAAGTTTCTTCTCATTTCAGTGGATCACGTATTTTTCAAATTTTTAAAAAAACACATTTTAATTTATCTCGAGAGCATGTCTGAAAAATAGCACTTTTGTTGCACTTCATAAACTATAAACTTTATGTTGATTCGTCATCTTAATTGTACTGCCCATATGAACTTCAAAATATTTCATTCGAAATTGAAAATTTTAATCTCCCTTTCCTTAATAAAAAAATCTTTCGTCGTTCCTCGCATTCTTGGAATTTCAAGTTTTGGCTATCTATTTTTTTCGAAAATTGTGCAAATTCTTATTTTGGGTCTATAATGTAAATTTTAAACATGAATGAATTGATTTTTTACGATTGAATTCTATAAGGTATATTCGTTTTCGTGTTGTGTCCATATTCTCTTGCTAAAAATCATCTAAATCCATTTTAAATAAAATATGCGAACAGCGCGAACGAAAAACTGGAGGTGAGCATGGTCTGGGTGGGCGGTTCTTGCCCTGGAATCGGGAACCGCCCACTATGAACCGGTTCCAAAAAATTGAAATCGGGAATCACCTCTCGGTTTCATGGACCCATCCGAAAATCGGACCGAAACTAGTCCTACTAAGCTTCCTTGGACAAATCAAAAAATGACAAGAGAAAGAAGCTTATTATATTGATCTTTTCTTGTACTCCACAACTTTTCAAGCTTCTGCAAGCCCTCTCGTTTAAACTAACAAATTAAATGAGTCTAAGACCCTCAGAAATAATGATGCAACAGAAGTAACTTTCGCTGAAAGTGAATTGATTTTTTTATAAAATATATATATACTGATCTGGTTCAAGTGGACAGCTGAGCGATTCCTCACCTAAAACGGTGAACATGGCCTATACTCAACGGTTCCAGTAAATTAGAATCAAGAGCTAGACCTGTCCCTATGGGAATCGCCGATTTTAGGCCGATTCGGTTTTATTCAAAACGGTTACTGATTCCTTTCCACACACAACTAAAGTAATCTTCGGTATACAAGTAGCAAAAAAAAAATATGCGCATTAAAGTTTTATCAAAGTGGGAATGTCATAATAAAAAAATTGCAGAAATTAAAAATTAAAAATGAATTTACACATTTTTCTTGTACTTTGACAAAAAAAAATATAAACGTCAAAGTACTCCTTTGGCTCGTCAATTTACACATTTTTCCTGCGCTTTGATGATAAAAGAGAGAGAGCATTCTTTCTGGTGCTCGTCTCTCCTCTTTCTGGGCTCTGCTTGGGAACGGCTGCTTCTCTCCGAAGCTCGTTCATCGTGACTTCCTCGAGCGCCGAAGGTGAGTTCGACTCGCTCCTTCTTCGCAATCTCCGCGAACTTTGAGGGAGTACCCTCAATTCGCCTACTGTTTTTCTCTCTCTCTCTCTCTCTCTCTCTCTCTCTCTCTCCCTTTGTTGTTCTATGTGTGCGCTTCGTTTTGTCCGATGTTCGTCGGTAGATCGCGTGTCGCTTGAGTTGATGGCTGCTTCCGGTGCAATGGGTGGCGCTTGTTCTCGTCGGGCGCCGACTTGGGTGGAGAAAATTTTTTATCTTGGCGCGTTTTGATGTGTTGGGTGGTGAGAAGCGGGCGAATTTGGACCTTCTGCGTGTGGATTGAGCCTCGTAGGGCTAGACCCGGTGGAGCTGTTTCGTGCTGATGAGGTGTTTAAACGGGTTCTGGTGATGTGAAATTAGGTTTCGATAGGCTGTGGTGATCTGATGTTTTTGTTAAGTAAAAGAGAGGGCGGCAACCGGGGAAGTCGAATCGAGAAAGCAAGAAAATGACTGTGGTCATTGATTCTGAGCAGCTCACTTTTTGCGTGCTTTCTCTATGTGCGCGCGCGCGCGATGGGGGCAGGCTCACCATCCCCTTGTTGGACTTAGTGGGTCTCCGGAAGTGACAAGTTCTTCCCCTTTGACATAAAATATGGAGTGACTGGTATTTGTGCCTTGGTCGGGAATCTACTCTAGTCTCCGACAGAGATGTAAACTTATATCTCCAATTAAGGAATGTGATACGTCTAAATTTCTGAAACCTATCTTTGCAGATTCGCTGATATTTGAGGCCAGTTGTGCGAATCATGTGAATTGTGCAGTTTAGCTTGATTTGTGTGGTGCATCTGCGATTTGTGCTACGTGATTAAGGCAACGAAAGCTTTTGGCATTGAGAGAACGTAATGATGTGTAAACTAGTTTGTAATAGAGTTTTGGGTGAATTGGTGTATAAAGATTATTCTTTCATGTTTCATATTGTTAACATTCAAATTTTGAGATAACTTGTTTTCTTTTTGGATGCCAAATATGCCTGATATGAGATATCTTGATCATTGCAGCTCTTCAATCAGCAATGATTTACACTGCAATCGACAACTTCTACCTGACGGATGAGCAGTTGAAGAACTCGCCGTCCAGGAAAGATGGAATTGATGATGCAACAGAAACAACTCTACGAATTTATGGTTGTGACTTGATTCAAGAAAGTGGCATACTACTCAAACTGTATCCTCATCTGATGTCTGGATCATTCAAGGCCTCAATATTTATGCATAAATTTTTTGTACTGCATTCTGTTGTTCGGCTCATTTCCTTAATCTGCCATACAGACCACAAGCTGTGATGGCCACGGGCCAGGTTCTCTTTCATCGTTTTTATTGCAAGAAGTCATTCACCCGTTTCCATGTCAAGGTTAACTTCTCTACACCAGCCTTTATTTTTTTATTTACGTGTCATCCTCTGTGATTGCCAAAAGGGAAATTTTGAACTGTGACATTGGTGCAGAAGTTGAATATGTTCTTTTTCCACTGTAGCCTTGTCTCTTAATTTCCTATTTCAGTCTTTTCTTTTATCTTTCGTCACGCATCTCTTGCAACAAAACTTCGAGAATTTTTTTTTGCCTTGATTTGAGATGATATTTTTCTTCTTAATGTTCTTCTTGCAAGATGCTTATCCAGAAGTTGATTTGGTCATGATAACCCTTGCAGAAAGTTGCCGCAAGCTGTGTTTGGCTAGCATCAAAACTCGAGGAAAGCCCTAGGAAGGCTAGGCAAGTCCTCATTGTTTTCCATCGCATGGAATGTAGGAGGGAAAACTTGCCAATAGAACATCTGGACCTGGGTTCAAAGGTCAGAATTGGATTCTTAATAGCATAACTTGCTCTTTTGATCATTGTTATAGGTATTTGATATTGCATATTCTAAACAGAAGTATGCAGAGCTGAAGATAGAGTTAAGCAGAACGGAAAGACATATTTTGAAAGAGATGGGTTTCATCTGTCATGTTGAGCATCCTCACAAATTTATTTCAAACTACCTCGCTACATTAGGGACACCTCCAGAGTTGAGACAGGAAGCCTGGAATCTGGCAAATGATAGGTAATTATCTGTATGTCGTCTTAACTTTGATTAGTGGATCAATGTTTTATGCACTTGAATGTTGGTGTCACTGTGCAACTAAGTTATTTTCTTTGAGGTAGTGGAGAGAGAAGCAGGTGTTTTTTTTTTTTGGGGGGGAGGAGTTGTCTGGGTGCAGGGGGTGCCTGTTGTGTTGGCAGGTGGAAGTAATTTGAATGGACTCTTTACATATGAATACATTAGTCTATTCAATCTCTAATTTGCATTCTGTCATGGTGCATATGATCTTATACATTAAGTTTCTTTGCTTGTTGAGCAGTTTGCGTAGTACTTTGTGTGTTCGTTTTAAGAGTGAGGTCGTGGCTTGTGGAGTTGTATATGCTGCTGCTCGGAGGTTCAAAGTGCCACTTCCTGAAAATCCACCATGGTGGAAGGCATTTGATGCGGACAAAGATGGAATCGATGAAGTTTGTAGGGTTTTGGCTCATTTATACAGCCTGCCCAAAGCAGAATATATTCCAGTATGTAAGGATGGAGACTCCTTTGCTTTCTCCATGAAGTCCTTGGATTTACAATCTAAGTCAGCTTCAAAGGTAATCGATTTATTCTTTCTCTCCATTTGCTGCTCTGTCCCTTTGGAAAGTCGGATTGGGAGACAGTATGGTTTGCTGCTGTTATTTGCAAATAGAATAGCTATGCTGCACTTACGGGCTCTGCTTACCATTTTCAGGACTACTAATTTAAAGTTTCTGCTTGTCTTAAGTGTGCGCCAACGAACTTTTGATCTGGCAACATTTCTTGATTATTTTCAGGAGGTCCCACAGAGTAGCCCCCTGGTTAATACTGACTCTAATGCTGCCAAGACCACCCCATCATCCGGCAATCTGGAATCTGGTGGATCCAAGGGCGAATTAGTGGATCCAAATGGGAAGGAATCTAGAAAGAGCGATGATGAATCTAACAACGTGCCAGCTGAGGGTGGGGTAAAAGATGATTCTTTCCCTAAGTCGAAGTCTGAACACAGAAATGAGGCTATTGGGGAAAGGAACAAGGAGAGAGAGAAGGACAGAGACAGGGAGAGAGACAGGGAGAGGGAGAGAATAAAGTCCAGAGATCGTGACAGGGGAAGGGATTCTGACAGGGAAAGAGAACGGGAAGACTCCGACAGAGATAAGGCTAGAGAAAGACGTCATCGCTCAAAAGACGGGGGCAAGGATTCAGGTTTGTTTGTGAATCTATTATCTCAGTCCTAGACTTGGTTATTGAATCAATCAATTAAAACATTCTTTCTGTGGCAACACATACTATTCTGAGTTTTAACCGCTGCTTCTTTGACTTGGGTATTTTACACTTTGAAATGCAGGACATTCAGATAAATCAAGACATCACTCTTCACGAGGCAAGCAATACATTTATCAGGTCTCAGTGTGTCTTTCTTTGTTCAACATCTAGTTACATTGAACAATTGTCTTGCTTTTCAGATCGGGAATACCGCAGTTCCTCATATTCTTCCAGGGACAAGGAAAGACACAGACATCATTCATATGCTTGAAGCAGTTGTCACCTGCCACAATTCAGCTGGATATTCCAGTGGCCGAATCCAGATCCTGTGACGCAGGGGAAATTTCGTCTTTTCATTGCGATGATAGCTGGCTTTCTTGTTAGGTTTTGTGCAACTGACTTACCGAACTGTCAGATACCAAGGGCATGTTTCTTGTGCTGTATTTAGTTGCCCTCGTGATTTAGTCTCTGCTGTTTCGATGATGGTGTATGAATAGAAGTTATTAAAATACTTAAGAGCATTTTTTTGAACTTCCTGGGCAGTACGTATTGTTGCTCGTTTCCTTTGGGTGGCTCAATCCAGTTTTCTGCTTGGATGTCTGCGTCTTACCTTTGGTGGTCTCTCTTCGGTGACCTGTCCGGAGATCGAATCCAAGATTCATTCTGTACATACGATCGAGAATCGCGCGATCCTAGCTTATGTATTCAACAAGGCAGAGCTCTCCAACATGAAATCGTAATACCATTCAACAGAAATGTAAGCATTTGCTCCGAGGCCTCAAAAGCATTCAATGCCCTCCTAAAAGGCTAGAATATGAATTCCATTTTCAACATGAGAGATGTAGGAATCTTATTTGATTTTCTTTTGGTCCACAGGTTTACATCTGATTACTACAGCAAAGAAAAATTACCGACAAATGTCTCGTTACTTAGATTATGGAATAAAAAGCCAACTCATATTCTTCCCATTGTAGGCTACAACGAGAGAAATCCCGTCTATCACCCTGAACTCATTCTAAAGGAAAATAATCCAACCTCAGTAAAATATCTTGAGGTAAATCAGAACCCGGCCACTCCTTATGAAGGAACTTGATCTGTGAACTAGAATGATTATTTACTAAACTCCATTGACACTCTTTCGGACCCAAATGATCAAACAATGCAGAAGAATGCCACCGAGACACAAAAGTGCAGTCTCTGAAGTGGGGGTGCAGCTCAGAGACGAAATATAGGAAGATATTACAGGTTAAGCAGCACATAAGCCCTCACATGCAAGAAAAATAGGGGAAAACGTTGCTGATTTCAGATCCTCGGACCTGCAAAAGAGTATCGAGACGAAACTGGCAAGCTAGAAGCATTGTTCTCATTAATCCCGTAATGGTGTGCTCGATCGTGTCCCAGTAGATCATCAATAGACCTTGGATGTGATTCATCCCGATCGACTTCTCTCCTTCGTAGATGGTCCTTCTCACTCGAGTAACTTTCCCGCCTACTACCAACATAAAAAGAACTTGAGGGTATGTCCTCCCTTCTCGAACGATGTGCATATGGGTCCACAGACGCGGCACCATGCCGATACGCATCATAAGGATCCTCCCGGTAGGAATCAAAAGCAGCAGCAGCAGATGTACCAGACCTAGAAGGAGGAACTTGGTAGTGCAATTCCTGCCTCGGATGAAGGGAATAAGTTCTATATTCCCTGTCACTCGTATAGCTACGTCTGACAGCATATTCCCTTGGTGCTGGAGCAGCTTCCCTACGTAACTCTTCCGGTAGTCTTCGAACGCGCTCTCTCTCGTGATCCTCCCGGTATGGTCTTAGAGTAGGAGAGATATGTCTTGGGAGATCTGAGTTTCTCCTCTCTCCTCGAAGACCAAACGCTCGATACTCCTGCTCCGTAAGATACATATCTCGAGATTCTGTTCTTTGCCTAGGCGCCAGCTCACGGTCCACGACTGGTCGGTCCCTTTCATGAGCTAATACCGGAAGTCTTCGAGATTGATGATCAGCAAAAGAATCTCTCGTCGATGTTTCTCTATGTGACAGATGTCGTGATTCTCGAGCTCTGACATGAGAATCACCCGTTCTGCTTCCAGTCAATCTTGGGGAGCGAGCAGGCAATTCTTTCGGATGGAGCTCTATTGATCGAAAAAGTGCTGCAAGCCTACTTACCTGAAAGAAATTCAAGTGTTGTCATCTCCGAGAATTCTTCAGTAAAAAATACTGCTGAAACCTCACAAACAAGTAGCATGTATTCTCACCTGTTTACTAGAAAGTTCTGTTTTGAATTTGTGTTTAGTTGTAAAATTTTCTTCCATGCCCTTCTTGAAGATATTCTCCGGCAGCGGATAACAGTCGAGATGAACTTTAAATCGCACCTAGAATTTCAAACCTGATCAGCCTTTGCAAACAAAATCATCAACTAGTAAGAAAAACCCAGGTGATAAAAAACTGACCTGAACCGGAAAAGCCCCATCAAAAGCTCTAGGCTCAAGTCTCATGCCCCCAGGAGAGGTGGCCTTGTAAATTCCATACATAAGCTTAAGATCATAATCATACAGAAAAAGCTTGAGACCAGGTCTGACGCTCAACACAAGATCCTTTTTATTCAAGGAGACGCCCATGACACCATACCTTAAACAATCTGGTTTGGTCTTTGAGTTACACATAAAAATCAGACCACCGAGTTTTTCTTTCTTTTCTTTTCTCGGTTTCTTTTCCAAATTGTCGGGTTTCTCATTGTCCTTCAAATTGTTCAAACTCTTGTTAGACTTTTGTTCTACTGTTTCCTTCCATTTCCTTTTGCTTTTTCCAATCACTGCAGCTCTTTTTTCCTCACTATGATCTGCAGCTGGTTCCTTTGGATTCTTCTCTACATGACTGCAGCTGTTTTTACCTTTCAAGTTGCGATTATCCTTTCCTTCAGTCCTGAAATCATCCGCATTCCGTTGCATCTTGTCACCAGAAGTGGATTGCTTCAAGGAGTCTTCTTTGCTGCTATTTCCATTCTTAACCGACAACACATCTTTCTCCTTCGTTGCTTTTTCCACCTCGACTTTTGGTTTGGCAGCTTCGACTTTTTTCTTCATCGATGAAGCAATGGCAGGAGATTTCTTGGCAATTTTTGATCTGGCTTTCAAAACTTTAACAGTTTTCTTTTTGGGGGCCTGCAACTTATCGGAGGTCCGCGCAGATTCACTCTTATTTTTCAGCTCCACAGAGTGTGGTTCAGAGGAGACATCTGGAGCTGCTTGAATTTCCTCCACATTTTTATGCCGAGCTGGCAACTCATTGGAGGTTTCTGCTACTTTATTCTTAGTTTTCAGCTCCTTAGAATGTGGCTCAGTGGAGACATCTGCAGCTGATTTAGTTTCCTCCTTGTTTTCCTGCTCCATGCATAGGGCCTCTGTGGTGTCCTCTTCTTTGCTGCCATTTCCATTATTAATCAGCAATACTCCTTTCTTATTTATTTCTTCTTCCCCCTCAAGTTCTGCAACAGTAACTTTGGCCTTTTTCTTATTCAAGGAATTATTGGCAGGAGATTTCTTGGCAATTTTTGATCTGGGTGTCAAAACCTTCCTAATTTTCTTTTTAGGAGCATGCAACTCATTGGAAGTCTCTGCAGCTTTGCTCTTGCCTTCCAGCTCTATTGAGTGTGGCTCCGAGGCATCTGCAGGTGCGTCATTATCCTCCTTTCTTTTCTGCTCCTTTGAGAGTGGCTCAGTTGAGTCCACGATTGTTTTAGCTTCCTTGTTTTCCTCTTCCTCAGGGTGCAACTTAGTGGAGAAATCTGCAGGTGTTTCAACTTCCTCCTTGGTTTCCTGCTCCAATGTGTGTGATTCAGTGGACACATCTGGAGGTGGTTCGGCTCCCATTTTTCTATCTTGCTATATGGTCCACCCAGTGTCCCAAGCCGACTTCAGTCCCAAAAAAACAACCACCTAGCAAAATTCAACTGCACACATCAATAAAACATCAGAAGCTCAGTAGGGAAACGGTACTTAATGCGATTCAGACTGCTTCCACAGCATTCGTAAGATATGCATGCACATGTCTGCTCACATCATAGCTTAACAGTAATATAATTACTACTTTTCCACATGTAAGTTGTAACAAATTTCCGCTAAAGCAATTTCTTCAACTGAAGACATCTCTATAATAGTAGTACCATAAAACCTCTTAGAAAAGATAACTCTTAACCAAAGCAATCTCATGAGCATGATAAACTTATAGACCATTCCAATCCAAAAATATGAAACGGTCTAAAATTTTTTCATAAAAGACACCCAAGAATTTACTAAAACGTTCTCATGCTGAAAACTTAAATCAGCAAGAACATGCTGTCAGACAAAAACAATCCTTCAAACATGAGGTCCTTATATTATTGTGTGAATTTCCAAACAATGCAGAATGTAGGAGATCGGGATTCACATAGCTTTTTAAATGTAAGATAATAAATGCTAACTAGTATTTCCTATCTAGCCAGTTTGTATTCATGAAATGGTACAAAAGCCTTATTAGTGTCAAACTTCACCTTCTTGTCATTGATCACATGACATGCGACTCTGAATGCATTTGCGGTACTTCTTATCCAATTCCAGTTCAACCTATCTGATTTCTATTGCTTCTTCTTTTCCTTTCCTTCTACCCAACCTTTTTGTTTCCAACCTCAGATCTACCACGCTCAACCTACATCAAATTGATCATATAGGCACAATAATCAATGTCACTAGGACAGATGATTCAAGATTCATATCATATGGTTCGACTCAGTTCATATACAAGAAGATTCAAGTTCAAGGTGAGAATCAAGGTTGAATTTCCGGACAGCAATTGTTTAATTCGATTAAATTCACAATTCAGTCATGATTTACAGATTCATTTAGTCCGATAAAAGGTCTCGTGTAATTTTAGGATAGACGGGTTGTTAAATGTCTAATGTTTTCAAGAGACTAAGAATTACACTGGGTAATTTCCCAGGATATTCAGCAATCAAACTGGCCAAAATAACTTCATTGATGCCAAAAATGCATTCAGACTTATTGTTTGTATCACAAAGTAGGAGAATCTTTTTAGAATCGTGAATAGCGTTGAGTAGTGACTGTAACATTTATTAAACGGCTTCAAAGGATCAAAGGAAACATGGGTGATATATCTATTAATATCTGAAAAGATGCGATATTATCATAATTGACAACATTTTGGGTGTGTAATAAGTACACTGGGTACTTGCTAAGGTTGCTATAACAAGGAACATGGGTATTTGGTATAACTAATTTATTTTACCTCACAAATGACATAAAGATTCCCAAATATGATAGAAGTGTACTTTTGCAAAAGTAGCAATACTCATTCGTATCTTGCTGAATAACATACTTATTATTGTCCGACATTTTCTTTCCTCATACGCTCTCAATAAGAGCTTAAAAAAACGAAATAACGACTTCAACTGTTTACTATAACATTGTAAAGGATCCAAGTCATAAAACTGTCAGCATCCTCAACCTTGTCTATTATACTAAAAGGAGATACAGATGAGTATTGCCACTTTTGCAAAAGTACACTTCTAGCATAAAAATATCATATTTGGGAATCTTTATGTCATTTGTGAGGTAAAATAAATTAGTTATACCAAATACCCATGCTCCTTGTTATAGCAACCTTAGCAAGTACACAGTGTACTTATTACACACCCAAAATGTTGTCAATTACGATAATATCGCATCTTTTCAGATATTAATAGATATATCACCCATGTTTCCTTTGATCCTTTGAAGCTTACAGTTCACTACTCAACGCTATTCACGATTCTAAAAAGATTCTCCTACTTTGTGATACAAACAATAAGTTTGACCACCAAGGCAAGTAACCATAAACTATGTAAGACCATGAGGCTGGACTTTGACTAGCAAAGCACAACAGGTTGTAAAGACTAGGAACTTTGCCCTACTGTATCAGATACAAAAAAAACAGATGACACTGGTTAAAATGGATGATCGGTTATTCGTTTACATCACACTCAGCCTGTTTCTTTCTCCCTTGACCATTTTTTATCTAGGAACTTAAAACAAAGGCACTGTACTCTAACCTAAAAAGACTACATGGTCCTACCCGAAGAAACTGAAGATATAGATGAGATTATATCTGTATCAAGAGCACCATGCCCAGCAACATCAGATAAAAATCTATGCTTTTCCCGTCGTAGCTCAGCAGAAACCCATACATGTAAGTTGAGAGAGAGAGAGAGAGAGAGAGAGAGAGAGAGAGAGAGAGAGAGAGCGAGAGAGTTAAAAATCAAGCCTTTTTATGAAATTGTGCTCAAGAGCTCAATAGGGTGGAGTCAGAAAACCACAATCAACGAGAAACCATTCAAGATTATGGCAAGAAGCATCAACTCTTACGCAAAAAATCACCTCTCTCCCACTTTTTTTTTTTTGTTGAAAAAAACAAGAACCGAAGACCGCAAATAACCTAGGCACCGGAGGGCACGAAGGAAACAACCGCTCCAAACAAAATCGAAACCTAAATCCCCACGACGCGAGACGGGCACCTCGCCTACCTAATCGGGCTATCATCAATCAACACTCAAAAAAGCCACTGAGGCGGGCTCAACACTCCCGCACACATCTCCCGAGCAATTCCAAAACAAGACCCGAACGCGCCCAGCCTGACCTAGACGAACACTCGGACGGCCTCGCCGCGCGATCGTCGCGCGCACCGATCGATTCCGCACACCAAAAACGAAGAATCAATCACAGAGAGAGAGAGAGAGAGAGAGAGAGAGAGAGGCGACGAAGAAGGGGATGAGGAGACCGTGGCGTTACCGGGATAGTACCAGGGATCCCGGAGACGAGGAGCGATTCGTAGTTCGACAGCGAAGCAGCGCTTCATTGAAGGAGAGAGAGAGAGAGAGAGAGAGAGACAGCTCTCTTTTGGTGCTTGCGGATAGGGAAGGTTTACGTTTCAATATATGGAGGAGGAGGAGCACGACGACCACGACGAGGAGTTACCATATTTCATGGGTAATTTTTTTTTTTTTACCATTTCGTAGTTTATTTATCTTTTTCCCTAGAAATAGATTCATTTTTGTTTGAGAATTTTCAAAAATTTTAAGTATAATGGATCAAAACATTAACGAAAGAAAAAACATGTTGTTCGAGTGTTTCGTTATTATAAGAACTCCCGAATCAGATGAAAGACGATTTGATAATAGCCGAAGGGGTTTGCAGATAGACCGTGAGGTGTAAGTTATAGTCTCGTTAGAAAAAGGTTTAATACATGAAGGAACGCTAGATTCGACACTGTTTGGACACTTTTGGTTCGAATTTAATGACGATCTTTCGGACATTTAAAAAGGCGGTACCCATAACGGTTTTGTTTTTTTTTAGTCCAGACTCCAAAAAATAGGGCTCTTTTGGGCATTTTACCTAACTAAAAATGCCGAGTCTCCCATAAAGGAACGATTGAAATTTGATTGCCATAAATCCAGTTTAGTTCATACCAATCTCTACTGGTCATATATGATATATGTACTTACTTCCTGCTTGATATCTTCTATATTTGGAAAAGCCAGTATCGGTTTCGATCTCAAACTTCGACCTTTGAACTTGCAAACTCCGTTGTACTTTATTTTCGTCACTTAAAATCGTCCGGACGGACTATTTTAGCCAAAAAAGAGATTTAATTTTTATTCTCATGTGTTCAAAAATTTCTAATATAACCACGAACATCCTCCCCTCTTTATGCCCACAATCTCTCACATTCATATATTTAGAATTTTCATCTTCTTTAAAAACCACATTTGATGCCAAATTAAATGCGAACATAACTAAATTATTTTTCACCGGTCTTAAAGTCTAACCCTGATGTAGAAACCTGACTGTTTTCGTGGACACACATTGAACTCAAGCCAGACTGGTAGTATTGTTTTTGATGCCCCCAACCTCGAGCATGAATTAGAAATTCTTCCCCCCTCTCTCTCTCTCTCTTCTTCTTGATGTGGAAACTTCGCCTTGATTCAATAAACTTTGAGATCGTGAAATGCCCGACTAATTTTAATGGACCGAGTATGACGTGACTCGAGTCATGACAATTTTTCAGTTATGCCCGGAACAGAGTTTTCATTTGACTTCGGATGCCTATCAGTATTAGCACCTATGCATTGCAACTTGGTCTATACAATCTCACAGATATGACATGCAGGAGTGTGCTGATAATGGCACGTTTACTCCGGTGTTTCGGTTGGTCTTTCCCCGTCAAATGAGGCGAGGCGTGGTTCTACTCTGGAACGAGACAACTGTCATTACGCTCGCTTTTACTCTAAGTAAAGCGTATGATCCGAGTTGAGGACCGGCCCTGCCGGCCGGTTCAAGAATCAAGACGTGCAAAGCAGAAGGTAAAAATCCATTCCATTTGATTCCTCGTTTAGCGGAGCCAACTCGACCAGGCGTGAATCCAACATCTGTGGTTAGGGGTGAGCAAGATGGACCGCCCAAATCGAGACCGGACCAGACTGACCGGTTTGGTCCAGTTCTCGGAAATATTAGTCCGGTTCCCGGTTCCTAAAAGTGGAACCGGTTTCTGAGCGGTCCAGTTCCCAGTTCTAGGGTGGGAACAGGACCCGACCGACCGGACCGGATCGATAAATATATATATTTCTAATTTTTATATATATATTTATTTACTTTTTAAATATATATTTAAATAATAAAAGAAGCATTTGATAGTTCATTTTTATTCGGTTCCAATGGGACAAACCCAAAAATGCTTTCACATATTGGTCCCGAAAATGCTTCCCGGTTCCCTCTTGCCTTTACCAATTGGTCCCATGGGAACCGGATCGGACCGGACCGGACCGGTCCGGTCCACGGTCCAAGATTAGCCGGTCCGGTCCCCGGTCCTAGAAACTGGGAACCGGTCCTCCCGGTCTGGTTCCCGGTTCTTGGGTTGGACCGGACCGGACCGGGAACCGCTCACCTCTATATGTGGTGTTACCAACCGATAGTGAATTACCCTCTTTACTGAGTTCAATGCTTAGTATATCTTCTTGGAGTATCCAGACGGATTAAAGCAAGTCATACTATAGCCACATAAAATCTTCACTAGAAGACATCTTCACATAACAATTTCTCCTGGATACTAAAATTTCCAATACCGGATAGGCATAAAACGACGCACTCTCTTTTTGTCAATCTGATGCTTCATTCTGATTTTCTCTGATGCTAATGAAGTATCTAGCTAGGAACTTTTGACTTCAACAAAGGGGGGAAATTTTTATTAGTACAACAAAATAGATTAACAGATGATAGCACAATCCAGAACTTGAAAGGAATTTGTCCCAGAAGACGGACTAGAATTCGGCTGCAACTAGAGCTTGACCTGACTAAACTTTTCATGTATTCTTCGCCAATGTATCCCTAATCAGTTGCTTTGGTGCTGCAGGGAAAAAGAAAAGTTCGTGTTTAGTAAGGTGAATGTATCGGGCTGCAAATACCACATCAGCTTGACAAGCAGAAATCTAAAATTCATCTGAGGCTTTAGGAGTCATCTTACCAGGATACCCCGTGAACCTTTCAAACTGTACAAAGGCCTGATTAATGAACATCTCCGTTCCATAGACGGGAATTGCTCCACACTCTTGAGCTTCTCGGAGAAGTCTAGTCAATTTTGGCGTGTAGATGGCATCAAAAACCAGACAATAGCGACTCAAAGCGTTCTGCCAAGGAAAAAAAACGATGTTAACTTGTCATTCATCAAGGTCAATAGGTCCAGCATTGAGCGTTATGCAAGGATCGTATTAAATTAACGATATCATGAATGAGTCCTGCGGAGGAATGAGTGTCAAGATATCAGACCTTAGATAAGGGTGTCAGGTCGACGTTTGGCTTCATCCCAACCGATGTGGTGTTTGCAAGGACCATTCCATCTTCCGGATGAAAATCCTCGAGTTCAGCCAGAGTAATTGCTTGCCCTCCAACTTTACTAGCTAGTTCTTTCGCTTTTTCTACAAGTGAGAAGAAACATCATATCGAGTTTGTCCTCATGGAAACTATATCGAAACAAGAGATGCCTAAAAGAAGAAAATTTTACCATAAGTCCTGTTGGCAACTACAACTCTTGCTCCCTTCTCCATACCACCATATGCAAGTGCTTTTCCAGCACCACCAGCTCCAATGACAACAAATAGCTTTCCAGCCAAGGGGGAACCAGTAGTGGGGCTTGCTCCGTTTGAAGCTGCATGAGAGAGAAAACATGTAAGATCCTCAGAGAAGTTCAAGGTTGAGAGTAACAAACAGCAAGTTACTAAGTGCATTTAAAACCTCGAAGTGCTTCCTCAATAGCTGCAATAGCTCCGAGATAGTCAACATTGTATCCGATCAACTTCCCGTCGGTTGGCCTTCTAATCATCTGACTGATAGCTCCTATGGCCTGTAATAATTACCATCCAGACATCAAAACAGGCATAACCACACAGTTTTGCAGAAGCTTGTCAGAAGCCTAGACAACAGCTCTATCGGCAAAAACCCCTACGTAGTTAGACAACATTCCAGCAACAGAAGAAGCTGGGTAGTAAGGAACAATATTTATACCTTGGCGATTGGGTCGACCTCATCACAGCATCTAAGTCCATCCTCCTTGTGAGGAATCGTATAACTGCATTTCAAGTCGAAAATTTGGATTATCATTTAGTGAATAAGAGGAATTAAATAAAGCCCATCGAGTCACTCTGCTGAGGTGAACCCAACAAAGGAACTGTAAAATCAACAAAAAGCAAATCTGCACTACTTGGAGGAGGATATTTTACCTGTATCCAACAAAATCTGGAGATGAGTAGGCGTTGACGAAATTTGCCACACTGTCAACCAACAGGGGGAGATAGATTCCATTGAAATTAACCGATTTAAATGCTGCATTGTACAGGTGAGGACTCTTGCTGTGACCAATGGGCTTTCCAATAACACCATGTACTTTGGTATCAGGTCCTATTTGTCTTAAATTATATAAATCCAACAGATCTTTAATGGATGGCTGTCCAGGAGCTGAAACTACTCCGGCTTCAATTGCACCGAATGTGAGAAATCCACCGAACTTTGGAGCAAGTATCCGTGAAATCAAACCCCTCTCCTCCATAGCAATTGCGATAGTTGGAACCTGCAGTGGCATATCATGTTCTATTGAAACTTTGTAGAGAGGTAAATGGTCTATAAAAAGTGAATAGTGATGACCAAGCACAGAGAATGATGTCTTCCTATTTCCTTGGGCAGGACTTGGCTGGAACTTGGAAATATCTTCCAGGTATTAGTATTCTTTTGCGGCCTTGTTAACCAAGTTGGTACTCATTTCCAATTACACGTGCTGTCACTCATCTTCCTTACTGACTATCATCATTGTCAAAGCTTGAGGGAGCTACTATTTAAGTATTTTATTTTATTGTTTAAAAAAGCCCACGAAGCATATAAGCCCACAATTCCCAATGCCGTACCATAACGTTTTCTTTTGGTGCAACAGAGTACTCACTTGAGAATGTGCTAGAACTTGAAAGATACGCGCACAGTCACTAATATCAAGAGCAGTAGTTGCGATCTTGACGATGTCAGCGCCAGTAGCCTGGATTCTTGCTACGAGGTTGCCCAGTTCCTCGGATGATGGCGTATTCTCATAGTTGTGAGAAGAAACTATGATTTTGACCTTTTCAGGCTTCTTCCCGTGAATGGAACTGAAGAACTCATGAGCAACCTTCAATCAGATGAGCAAAACTCTCAGTGGCATATATATGAAACTTCCATAGAATCAACGAATTGGAAAGAGCAAATTGCTGATTGTCAGCACTATACGGAAAATAGAAGCTGAAGAACATCTACAGGCGTAAATTAGGTGACAGATGCAATTGGTATTTCACTAGATAACGCATCATAAGAAGCTTCAGACTTCACAAAAAAAATCCATTTTTTGCAAGAGTCTTGGAGGAAGATATGCATCCATCACTATTCTTCAGTTCAAATAGTTGACTGTCATTCTGCGACCGGCTACCAAGCACTACTGGCAGAAGCTCTTTTCATATGCACTTTACTCATCAACTGTATCCTAAATCAAGCATGGATTTAAAAGACAATTTTGGCATTTTCCGCATTTTAAAAGCCAAGCTTATGGAAACATAAACTGCCAAGGAAATGATCTCATTATTATTGTGATACTAACTCTGGTCATCATTTGCTGCAGATGATAAGTATATCATTAGTAAAGCACTTCTTGCTTCATTTGACTTAGAGTACCATGTGCGGGCGCTAGAAACGATTTTAGGCCTCCATCCACTGGAGTGTATTTTTAGGCATATGACTGAAAATACCAAAACAAACACAAAGGACAGAGATAAAATTCGACCTGAAGCTCAACGTCTACATAGTCAGCTCCTGATTCCAGCGCTAACCGCAATGTATCCAATCTCCGGCTGTCATCACCCTCATACTGACCACCTTCCCATTTGGGTCTGATAGAGAAACATCAGAAGATTCATAATAATGAGAAAAAACTCAAGCGAAGGAAGAGACATTGGACCCGAACTCGACGTCGTGCAGTAAAATGACAGTATTGGCGGAGATGCACGTAAAACCAATGATTTTCACTCAAAAGTACATCCCTCGACGAAAAATTCTTCCAATACCGAAACTTCTCGGCCATTCTGCATATATTATATCGAAATACGCCTCCATCTACTCAAGGACCGAGCAGCGAAATCCCCCGTTGACATCTTACACTACCCAAAACAAAAAAACCGGATGGTGGGTAACGAAATCACCTGTAAGTCACTAGAGTGGGCAATGGGCTCTGTTTGAGCAGGATCTCGAGATCTTGCTTCGGGCTGAAGTTCTTCAAGAAATCCAAGCGGACTTCGACGAGGTCGGCGCCTTGCTCCTTCGCTTTCCTTATCTGGCTCAGCATCTGATCGACCGACTCCCCCATTACCGGCGAACACAGCAGCGTGGAGTTCCTCCTCCCTCCGGCGGCGATTTGAAGATCCGCAGTAGCCAACTGATCACGCGTTTTCAACAAAAACTCAAGTCAACACGAGGACAGCTACAGCAACTCAAGAGCGCTCGACACCGTTTCCACAGGGCTACTCCAATTCAGCCAACTATTAATGCGACTTTTCATCTAACAACAACATCAATTCCAGGGAAGACGAAGCCAGAGGATCGGTATTCGGGGGCACGACAGTAACAGCCACGACGCGAGAACGAACAGCCGAAAAAAAAACGCGAGGCGAGCGTAAGAGAGGAAGGGCAGGCCGATCCAACTTCCGCGGCCGAACCGAGCGCAATTCCGAGACGACGAAGGGAGACGCGGGGCATCGAATCCCCGATCGCTCATTGCGCGGAAAAGAAGCCAAGGAAATCGGAACGGGGAGAGAGAGGGAGGGAGAGAGCTCGGAGACGTTACCGGGATGCTGCTGAGAGTCATGGCGGCGGCGGCGGCGGCGGCGGCGATCGGCGGAGGATCGATCGGGCGAAGAGGAAAGCTACCACTGGGAGTTGCTGTGGACGGTGTAGAGAGAGAGAGAGAGAGAGAGAGAGAGAGAGAGAGAGTCGTGAATATTCAGTTATAGAGAGAGAGAGAGAGAGAGACTCTGTGGCGGAGTTAGGTGTGTGTGTCTATATATAGATATATAATATATAGAGAGAGAGAGAGGAGAGAGCAGAGGAAAGAAAGAGCAGTTGGCGCTTCCTTCGCTCGTCTGCCTCTATTCAAGAAGAGGAAGAAGAAGATGCGGACGGGGAAGAAGAAGAAGAACGTTAGATGATGATGCTGGTTCGAAAATTCGCTCCCCCCCTCTTTTTCTTTTTCTTTTTTTCCTCTTTTCTGTTTCTTTTTCTTTCCGTATTTCGACCCACAATTTTTTTTTCTAGAAATTCCGGAAAATATAAATATGGGCCAAAATTGGTCAGAGGCCTAGGAGATGCATTGCGTTGGCCCAAGTCGACCCCCCTCTTCAGTCTCGTCAGGAAGAAAATTTAGGTGGGGGGAGTGAGTGCAAGATATAAAACAATATTCTCCATCGTGATTCTTCCTCCTCCTCTAATTTTTGGAAGTCACGATGTCAAATTTAGCGATACGTATGTATGTGCGGCGTGTTCCCCGATTAGAGCTCGGGGGCTCCCGATATTCGGTGGAGATTTATCGAATGTCGTGGCGCGTCATCGCCGCGCCGCGAAATAATTGGCCTCTGCTCTTTCGTTGTGTCTGCAATTTCTTGCGGGATCGAGATCGATGTGAATCGACTTGAGACGACGTGTGTCCCCTTGCTTTTAGAAAATGCTCTTGGAAATTGTAGGTTTAGCCAACAATTATTTCAATTCTCCTTTATTGGAATGAGTTATGGGGTTCTTCTTGGGAGAAGATCTTCTGGGTGCTGATGATTTCGCCCAATTAAATCACGAACATGTGATAGTGATTTGGGAAACTATTTAACTTTCCGATAGATATGGAATATGTATCCAGCACAACACACTATATAAAGTGAGGAACCGATCAAACCGGCCAATGTTAGGCTATTTTCGGTTCTTAAAATTTGGTACCGGTGTATGTCGATCTGGTTCCTAATTTTAAGTGTGGACCGAAACACACGAACCGGACCGATACTTTTTTTATTAGCAAATTAATGATACTTGATCATATTTCATTACACTTTTAGCGTCCTTCTACCGAGATTTTCATTAATTAAAGATTCAAAACACTAAAGAACGAGAGTTTAGACTATGCAATAAACACGTGCAGCCCTGCAAGAAATAAGAGAAAAAGAAGAAAAGAAAGATATCACCGTCAATTCCTAGACCCACACAAGAACCAAACCGACCGGTTTGATTCCAGGTCAGGTGGGCCTATTCCTGATTTCACAAATTAGGAATCGACCCTTCTAGTTTGGTTATCGATCCATTCTAAAACCGATCACCTTTATTACGAAGGTGGCTGTGCAATTAAAAAAAAGGGTTTACTCCCAAGTGATTTGCCTTCATGACGATGGGCTAGCCTATTCCAGGAGAACCTCTCTCTAAAGACCCAGTCCGCGTCTCTGGTGCACCAGTGGTTAGGTGGGAGGATTAGCTAGGAGAGGATGCGTCGTCGGATGGGGCAGACCCGCAAGTCTCGTCGTCACTGGGACTCTGCGAGCCACGAGACAAGTCGAAACACCCGCTCCTGCATCTCAAACTCATCGGCATCTTTGTTTATTCACTCATTAAATTCTCGAGATAACAAATATTAGAGCAACCAAGTCGACTTACACGACGTATCATTCTTGAAAGCGAACCTTCTACATTTCATTCCCAATACTATTTAAATTTTCCTTCGGACCATTTAAAATTGATCCTCGCTTTCATAGACTTGAAAGCTAAATTTGTAGAAATCTCAAGTTGGCATATCTTCATTCATTCATTTATTGTTTTCTATACTTTCTTGGATTCAATGAAATCGGCAATTCATCGCGGTGGGGGTTAGGTATAACGTCGAAAGAAGACCGCCAAGCACTTGAACATCAAACTCTCCTTAGATCCTGTCTATCTAATCTGTCTAATTGTTTAGGTAAAGTGACCTCCTCTTCCTTCTTCCTTGTCTGTCTCGTTGACTCGGTCTCAGGTAGGTGTCAGCAACCTCTTCACCAAACTCTCTCTCTCTCTCTAGAGGTCGGTTGGGGCTTTGTGAGAGTGTCCGAATTGATCTCGAGTTCATCGTCCCCAACCGTGCAAGAATCTCTTGTCCTCCTCTTGTTAGAAACTGGGACCATCATGACCTACAGGTGTACACACCTTTTGGTTTGTCTGTGTTTCAGTTATGGAGGTTTCTTGAGTTTCAAATTCCTCACAGATCTTTTCCTAATCCATTCATAATCATGCGCATGTGTTACGTGGGTTCGTCCTTGGTTAGAATCTGTCAAACGGGATTGGGTCGGGTCATAAACAGTCCGATAAAAATTGATCCATTAATCTGTTTATGACCCATTTATTCGTAATGCAAATTTCTCGTCATGTATCCGACTCGACTCATATTACTAAAACACTTCTATATCTAATTCAATCTAAATAAACTTGTTTCTTACGATTTAAAAAAAATTATATTACTGAAATACTACCGTGCAATACCAATCTAGCAGACAATTTTTATATTTTTTTTATCTTTTTTCTTATCGTTTTTAATATTTTATAATATGGAAAACAATACAAGCCAATTTTTAAATTTTTTTAAAATTTTCTTTTTTTTTATCTTTCTTTCTTATCGTTTTTAATATTTTATAATATGGAAAACAATACAAGCCAATATATATATATTTAAAATTTTCTGATTTCTTAATAACCTTTTATTTTATTTCTTTTTTCTTTTCTTTTATGTCCGGCGAGAGTCGCCGGCCATTGGGCAAGGGCCTCGCGGCCCTCACCGGCCGAGGGTGAGAGCCACGAACTACTTAAATGCTCTTCATGATTGATCATATCATATCTCTCGGTTCGGTAGCAACGAAAAGTGATTAGAGTACAGACCTAAAGCTCTTCAAAACGTGAAAAAAAAAGGTGGTAACATCGATTCTTGCCTACTTCAAATTTCTGTACCAACTAATTTCAAAGAGGGTTCTTTTCTTTTCCGCGAACCATTGCCGAGATTGGGCTCGTGATGTTATTCATAGGTGAAGCTCCCTCTCGCAAGTAATCATCGGACAACACAACGACGCACGATATATCGACTGCATCTAATGTTCTGGGGGACACATGCGAACCCGAACGTTGTAAGCACTGTCCGAAAACTGTACCTTTTCGGTCGTCTTGTTGATGAGCCAAACGTTCGAGACCGGTACTTCTCTGTCAAGAAAGCCAGATGCGGAACTGCACTGTCGTTCGGTTATCCGACGGCCGAGCGGGAAGCTGCTGAACGGCGGGCGCAACCAGATTTCCAAGATCTTACGATCGTTCTTCCATGCACGTGTCGTTTCAGTCAACGTGATTGGATTCGCTGCATTAGATTCTGCCGCAAAGACTTCAAGAAATTGTGGGATTCTAAGAAGACGGGGTTCTCAACTTGGGGATGTAGCTCAAACGGTAGAGCGCTCGCTTTGCATGCGAGAGGTACGGGGTTCGATACCCCGCATCTCCATTCATTTTCGCTTGTTTTTTTAATCTATGATTGCTAGTAATAAAACAAGAGTGACCAAACTGCAACTTATGGGCATTAGGGGTTATCGATATCATTGTAATGCAAACAAAACGTCCTTGTAGTCCTCCATGCGTTTTTTATTCGCAATGTGACTAAACATTCCCTTTGGAAGGAAAGATGTTTTCAGTGTGCATGACAAGTTCGATGAAAAATAGGAACGATCACTGACAGTTCAGCTTTTACTGGGAAATAACTTTCGTTAGAGTGAGTTCGGCTTAGATGTGAAAATGACATCCGTCGAGGCTTGTGGCGTCCACATGCTTCTGTTATTTTCAATTTTCTGTCATCTGAAGTGGAGCATGTGGTTAGATTTGAGATTATGACGTTCGATCCTTCTGAATTGACACCATGGCATCACATCGTGCGAGAGTCGATGGGGAAGCATGTCATTGTTAGGAATATGCTGCTTGAGATGCTTATTGCTTCACAGGTGACTATAAATTCAGAAGAATTGCTGGAACAATGGCTTAAGACTGTTTCCTCTAAATTGACAACACACTTCCTAGATGAAGCTGTTCATCCATCAAGTATGAGGTGGGTTATGACTCTTCTAGGTGTGTGTCTCGCTTCTTCTCCCACATTTGCACCTTGAGTTCCGTACAAGTGGAGGCTATCAAGGTTTGGGCCTGGTGCTTCCAAGTTTCTATGATTCGCCAGACATATATTATATTTTGTTCTGTCTCATGTTTCGAAAGCGTGTTCATCCGAGATTATCAGAAGTTCGTATGCTGGACTTTCATGCTCTTATACCTAGTGATGGAAGTTTTGTGGAGTTGAAATATGTGGTAGTCTTGGAATCTGTTATTGCTATGGTCAAGTCAACATTTGATAGGTTGAGTATGCAATCAATGCTTGCCCATCAAACTGGCAACCTCTCAGAGTTTGCTGTTGGCCTTGTGGCAGAACTTTTTGAGGGAAATGCTGACATGGCTGGAGAGCTTCAAGTCGAAGCTCTTATATGCACAAGACATATGCTGCGTATTTAATGGGTGGGGAAGCATCAGTTCCTGCTGCTGCGACTTCGGTTCTGAGATTCATGGTTGACCTTGCAAATATGTGTCCTCCATTTTCTGCTGTTTATAGACGAGCAGAGTTTCTCGAGAGCTGTGTCGACCTTTACTTTTCTTGAGTTCGAGCTGCATATGCAGTGAAGATGGCGAAAGAGCTCTCATTTAAGACCAAAGAGAAGCACTTGAATGATGGTGATGATACCGGTAGCTCGCCCGATACATTTTCTAGCTTGCCTCATGATCAGGAGCAATCAGCTAAAACCTCCATAAGTATGGGAAGCTTCCCTCAAGCCCAAATAATTTCAAAGTTCTGAGGAAACACCTAATCCTTGCAAATTATATGGCCGATAATAACGCTGAAATCAAGATCTCCACATCCCAACAAGAT